TATTATTTTTTTTGAAGGGATTATTACCCCCAGAAAAGCAATTTGCCAATCGACTAACAATCTCTGGGTTCCTACATACTGCCAGATAAAAAGAGATGTCTGGAGTAAGAAAAGTTGCCCAAGGTTTCACCCCACCAAGGAATTGAACCCAGATCCTTTTGCCTGTGTGGCAAGTTCTCTAACCACTTAGCTACAGGACTCCACATTTGATGTGAAGTAGGGGCAGAGGTCAGAAATGTGGCAGAGGTGAAGAAAAGCAGTCTTTGTCATGCACCAAACGTAAGGAAAGAAAACTGACAATCGAACCAGATAAATAATTAAACCAGACACCAAACGTAAGGAAAGAAAACTGACAATCGAACCAGATAAATAATTAAACCAGACACCAAGGCTGCACACTATCCCAACACACACACTGGCTTCCCAAGCAAAATCTACAGTGTACTAGCTGTACCTGTTGCAGCTTCGCTTTCAACCAAAGGATCCAATATGGAATGTAGATCGACACACAGACAGACATTTCATCTTTATCTATACTCGTCTCCTGTAGGAGGACTCCTTTTGGGAGGACTCAGCGCTTTAAAAATGTAATTTTGTTGTTGCCGTAACTTAGCTTTGTCTGTGTTCTTTATTTTGTTCCTGCCACTTGGCTATGTGCATGTTCTGTGACACATGATGCCACAGCATCACGATCAGCCAGCACAGCCACCAAGTATAACTGCAGTGCATGCATACATATGTAGGTGCTCTGTGATGCATGATGCCACAACGCAACTTTGATTCAGCGGCCACCAGGTGTAACTGCAATAAAAAACGCAAAATTGAAAATAACTCATGAACAATAGGAGATACTCAAACACCAATATGTCTATATCACTCCCAGATGCAAGACCTTTCCGATGAGGTATAAATCGCGTCTCTAGGTCAATCGGTTAATGAGATCCTTCTTGAAGCGCAGACAGACATTGTTTCATTAGTATAATAGAAGATGGATTCTTTGAAGCACTTTGAGACAGCACGAAGATGTAATAAGACGCTTGCCAACCTGCACTGAAAATATCAATAACACCAACTTGCATTTATATAGCGCTTCTCATGCAGGGTAGCGTCCCAGAGCATTTGACAGAGGTGGAACACAACATCGAGCCAGGAGGAAGATGACCGTAAGCACAATCGAAGAGGAAGGTCTTCAGAAGATGGAGAAGGAGGGGGCAAGGCAGAGGGATTGAGAGTATTATCCAGGACCATCAAGGTTTACTCAGTGGCAAAAGTGCGCACTCCATACCAGACAAATGGAAAGCATACACATATGGAACTCAGAAGTGACTGTTAAGCATGGTAATGAGTTTTTGCAATACTTGGCTGACAAAACACAATTGCAATACTGATTCATTTCTGGAGGTTGAAATGCATGAAGCTTAACATGACGTATTCAATACATGTTGAAATTCATACAAATTTCCTAACTGTATTGGACCTGTTGAAATTTGCCTTTCATGCATAGAACTTGCTTGTTCATTTGTAAAAGATGATTCCGATCGAAACTCACATCTTAGAAACATTTAAAAACATTTTGCCTGTTTTTCGTGAAGATGGGCTCAATGGCAAACTGAAAACAGAGTGAGAAAATGGCTTTAGTTTATTAATAGTCCGAGACAAAAACTCTTAATTCTGCCCCTCCCCCAAAGCATTTAAGTACTTGGCTACAGAAAGGGTGTACAGCCGGATCAAGTGATTGCTAAACTTTGATAAGGCTGAACACTGAGTGTTCATGTCAACAGGCGAGATTGTGTGATTTGGCTTATTGGCACCTTTCCTCCTAGAAATGTTTTCACCATCTTTTGTTCACCTGCATAATTTTGAAAGAGGATTAGTGTTTTGATGAAAGGAATCTGTTTAAATGGCCACATCCAGCATGCCACATCCATTCTCTAATGCTGTTTAAACTCAAATAATCTTTAAATAAAGTTTAAACTGGCAAGTTTAACTAACTGTTTCAACTAATTGTTTAAACTACCTTAATTATAATAGTTGTTCCATCATAAGAATAAAAGCAAGTAAAATCCCTAGAGTGATTTTGAAGTCCAACAAACTAGATACGCTAGTTAAGAACAACTTGAACAAGAGCTTTATTTTAAAATTACTTTATAGAAAGTTTTGCTATAATTAAGCACTGCCCAACCAATGGTCATGGTTCTTGAAATAAGGCAATTGATAAGTAGTGATCAATTTGGAAAATGTTGTGCAAATCAAAACCAACATCTTAGTACAGTTGAAGTTAGATAAAAACAATTAGTTCATCACAAAAACAATAACGTGCTCTTAAATAGTGCCCAATACATTTGATAACATCTCAGAGTATTTCACAGGATAGGTATCAGACACTGAGCAAAGGAGAAGGGGAAGAACTGACCACAGGTACAGTTTAATGGGCAGGTATTTTAGCAGGATTTAAAGACAGTTAAAGAGGGGGAGAAGGGGAACAGGGAGGAAATTCCAAAGGATGGGGCTTAGTTGCTGAAGGCTCATCCACAACCCAGTTTTCAGAAAATCAGGGAATACAGCCCAAGTCAGAGTTTGCTGAGTGGATGGTGCAAGAGTCAGTAAAAGGTTCACAGAGGTAGGGAGGTGCTTCAGTAAGAAGGAGTTTATGGGTGAGCGGAAGTTGTTGAAATCAAGAAACAGGAAGATGGTGGCTTGGCAAGGACTGGAGCAATGGGCATTCAGAGTTTTGGTACAAATGAGGATGTGCGAGGCAGAATTTTTAATTCTGAAGATCTAGAGCTTGTGCATGGTGTAACTAGGGAAATTAGCAAGGAGTGTGTTTGAGCCTTTAATAGAGCCTGTAGATTTTACAAGGCAATATTTACCTTGGGTGTGGACTCTCAACCCAAACCTAGTCACGCGCCTCTGAATATGGCCGAAGGGGTTGAAGAAGCTGAAGTCTTTTAAATTTGGACATTTATTCTTTCATTTATGCAAACTTCATCATTGGCATAATGTAGAACAGTGATACAATTATTAACACGACAAATTATATCAATTACACTATTGTAACCCCAAATGTGCCAATCTGCAGCTATAAACCAGGTGACAGAACACCATGTTCCAAACAATATTGCACTTGACATTTTCAGTAATGTTGACACTCCCAAAAACAGCACAAGATTAGTTCAGATGAAGCAGGCCCTTCGGCCCATCTGATCTCATCCTTCTAGAATACCATCCTAACGCCCTCCCATCACAGCATTTTTTTTAAAAAATGTATCCAGTGTCCTGGGCATCAACCACCATTGCTGATAGCCTGTACCAGTCAAAAGTGTCATTCTGAGTTTACTTTTTTCAATCTCATTTAAAATTTTATACACCTATATAAAGTTCCCTCAGAAACATCTTCTCTCAAGACTGAAGAGTCCCAACTTGTCTAATCATTGCTCTTTCCTCTAACACTGGGGATCATCCCCATTTTTCTACTTTGCAGTCTTTAGGCCCTGGGCAGTTTGCTTATGTCATTTTGAACAAAATTGTATGCAGAATTCTAGGAATGGCATGACCGAGCACTATATAGCCTGAATACAACTATGGGGTCAGCTTGAATATTGGGATCTGATCTCAACTGATTTAGCAATATAGCCCATACGGTTTGCCTTGTTTATTGCTGCCTCTCCATTTTGACAACCCACACAAAACTCTGTACCCCCATCACATCAGTTTTTACCAGGTTCTACTGATTCCCAAATACTGAACGGATCAATTTCAAGATCCTCTTACTCCTTTTCAAATCCCTTCATGTTCTCACACCTCCCTACCTATCCAATTTGCTTGCCCTCACTCCACTGCCTCCAGCCACCTATTCATCCCTCATCCTCTCCATCATCGATGTCTATGCCTACAGCCCAAAGCTCTGGATCTCTCTCCCTCCCTACCTCACCTGAAGACCTTCCTTTTTGATTGTGCTTACAGTCATCTCATTCCCTCTCTCTCTCTCTAGCTCGGCATCAGAATTCACCACCGTCAAGTGCTTCAGGACACAACCCAGTGCGAAGGGCACTTATATAAATACAAGTTGGTGGTGGTAGTGAGCAATGAGTCAACTTACACCACTAAATCACTTTCAGATTCCCTCGTGGCAAGCTCTATCTCTATGGAGAACATAGGTTTACCTATCTTACTTCCTTTTTTAATAAAAAAATTACCTCCTATATGTAGAGCCTTGCATTTTTCTTTATTCAACTTCATTAGGCCATGTACATAACCTATAACATTCATTTTGTTAAGACCTTTGCAACCTCCTTATAATTCAGGTTCCCCGAACCTGGTATCATCTGCAAATTTAACTAGCATAGATTGAGTCTGTGATTCCAAGGCATCAATATACACACACAAGCTATAGAAATAATCCCAATATAGATCCCTGAGGCACCATGCTAATGCCTTCCTCTCCCTCCACCCCACACTTAATTTGGCTATTATCTTCTTTTTAAACAAATATAAGGTTAGTCAGACCATACTTAACCTTTCCAAATGCACCCTGGCTGTCATTTGTTAGATATTAATGGTAAGCTTCCATTTCCATACTGAAGTTAAGGTAACAGGTGTATAGTTGTCAGATATGGGTTAGTAATCTTCTTGAAAATGGGAATTTTGCTAGATTCCTTGACTGTAATTCCTAATGTCTTAATGTACATGGAGTACTTCATCCATCCCAGGGGATGGGCTGGGATTAAGCATTCAGCTCTGATGCTAAAGATTTTCTGAATCAAATATGTTGGCATGCATGGATCGACTGGCTGGCATGTGAACTAAATATGACTCTGCAGTATCAGATCCATTTTTATACAATTATCTTTGAAAGAAGTGTCCTCATAGAATAAGTGCAAGGTATTGGCAGCAAGAGGTTATGCTTTTGTAACATTTTATTCAGCTTTTTGCCACAATTTCAAGTGGTAACGAAAACAAAAAATAAAGTAGATTCCAACATTACAATCATAACTCTTGTCTAATGCTCACATTCAAAATTAAATGATGTATTTGAAGCTGAAAGTGCTATCACAAGAGAGCCGTTTGCCTCTGCATCTCCCACAAAGATCCTGGCGATGTGGTCTCTTTGGGTCAACGTGGCGCATTTTGATAGGACAAGTGCATCGAGTTTCTTTGCAGGTCTGAGTAGGGAGAGAAACAAGGTTCACTTTACGGATGTTAGTGCCCCTTTAGTGGCAACTTTCTCCTTTAACAGCGAGCTTTGATACCTCTGCAACTTACTTGACAGGTAATGTCCTCCACACGGTATGGGTTATAGGATTTCTCACAGGTTCTGCAGAACTGTTTGAAGTAAACCTGTTGAAACAAACAGGGGCTGGGTTCTCTATCCTTAAGAGAGACACCAATGAAGTTGAACTGTCAAGCTTACCTTGTTGGTGCCTTGTACACACCACACATAAGCACTCTCCCAGCGAGCATTGCAATCTTTGCAGTGAAAGTAACCATACTTCTGCTCTAGGAACTGAAATACAGAGTTAAAGAAAGTTACTGGAATCCAATGACCAAGTGTGATTTGGCAATATCAATCCACTTGTAAAAAAAAAATTCAGATCCACAATATCTGGCACCAGATTTGTATTCTATTAAAAATACCACTTGGATTTCATTGGTTGCTAAAGTGCCACAGATGCTTTAATCAACTTAGTCAGTAAAAACTCACACAAGTCTGATCTGTATGAATCCTATAATTGTTTAAGTCATACATCTGCCCAAGTCCAATTCAAGAATTTACATTCTCTGCAAGTTTGACACAACTCATACTTTGCATAAGAATGCATGGGCCCAACTGATAGGACTTCAGGTTTACTATTACTCTGTTGTAGCTCCAGTATAATGGGAGGTTGGGTTGAGCTCTATCAGGTTAAGAGGATGTGTTGGTGTGTGTGTATGTGTGTGTGTGGTGGCGGCCAATAAACAAGCCTGTGCTCACTGCCAGAGATGGACTAGAGTCTGAGCAATTGCTTCACTGTCAGCTCTTGCCCCCACCCCATGTGCAGCACAGTCACAGCACCTCCTCACCTTACCTGGAACCGTAAGCGTCTGTCACTCTTGCTTATGTTGCTGGCTTGACGGGAGGCGACATCCTCACTGTGACCTGCTCCTCCAGCTGCCTGGCTCCCCGCATTGCCAGCCTCCCCACCGGGCTTCACCTCCTTCCTCTCCAGCTCCTCCTCCTCCTCCTGTACATCTCTCCCCACCTCCTTCCCGGGAATCGCCACCTCGTCTTTCCCCAACCAGTTGGCATCTTTCGCGGCTCTGTCCTCCCGGGAGAGGAAGGGGTTCAGGTTGGGGGATAGGATGGGGGAGTAGATGGCCATGGTCCTGCGGAAGCGCACGTTCTGTGGCATGCTGGCCGCACTGCCCTGACCCTGGCCCTGGGGCTGACCCTGGCCCTGGGGCTGACCCTGGCCCTGGGGCTGACCCTGGCTCAGGGGCCGCCGCTTGAGCCCACCTTTCCTTCTCAGCATCAACATCATGAGTGTCCTGGGCCCCAGGGAGCACTGCACACAGGCATCAGCTTTCGGGTTCACCTGGACCCCCACATCCTTAGTGTTGGCTTTCCTGACCCTGGGAGTCAAGTTGGGGTTGACCTGAGACAGGATCGCCTTGAGCTGAGCTCGCTGGTAATTGTCAAAATACTCGCCCGGGTCCGCACAGCCGCCCAGGTATCCCCTCTGCCTCCAGGAGGAAGCCTTGGGATTGAGGGTGATGTAGGGGTATGTGTAGTGAGGGTAGATATAATCCAGCCCTTCCTCTCCCAACGTAGCCATGGTCTCAGGCTGACCCTCCCAGCCGTGTGACTCTATTTAAATAGCTACCCAGAAAGGGCTGGGCTTGCTTCCACCCCCAGTGATTGAAAGGCATTAAATCTATTAGCATAACAACAAGCTCCCACCACAGCTTGTTAGCATTGTCCATTATAATAGTTAATTATAACAGTTCTAGTATCAATTAACATCGATCTGACACTCAGAAATGCCTCTGGAACCAATTTAAAAGCATTGAAAGTGACAGAGGGAATTCAAATTCAAAATGAGAAAGTTAAAAGCATTGAATATGTTGGACCCTCTGGGGATTTCCTTTGAAACCACCCTTGACCTTTGTTTTACTGCTCAATTCCTTTTTATTGACAATCTGTGTGTAGAGATACTGAACGTTAAGTCCCTTTTTATTGAACTTATTAATTGAACACTGACAGGTTCCAGGTTAACAAGCAGTGGTACAGATACAGGTGGTGTTTACCTCAGCATTTGGATCATTCATACTGTGGACCAACACATTGAAAGTTAGGTGACATTTTCACTCACACCCATCCCCAATATACAGCTTATTAAATTCCTTTCAACAAATTGAAAGGACTTAAATTCAGGAAGCAGAGCACGTTGAAATGTGGAGGATATTAGTGAATGAGTACATTAGTTTATTGGTGTCAGTGATGGGCAGCTGTTGCCTCTCTCTAGCTTTGGTTTCAGACTGGTGCGTGACTTGCAGTGGGTTGCAGCATGATAGCATTTGGTTCATTCACACTCATTGCCCCATAGGCTGTATCGACAACCTCTTCCTCCTTCAGTTTCTTGTAAGAAATGTCTGTGTCATCATCCTCATTTAGCGGCTCCTGTTTGTACAACACGTCTCTCCTATAGATTTTGTATCCCAAAACAAAGAGGCCAGCTTCAGTGGCTTGGAACAGAGCATAGAGCAATGGGAACATGTAGAGGCCTCCAATAATCTGGGGAGGGAAGGCGAGTTTGAGAATGGCGGTGCAAAGCTGGACGTTCTGACAACCTGTTTCTAATGAAACTGTCCTTTTGCAGTTTGGAGGCAGTTTGAAGAGGGTGGCCAAACCATACCCCGCAGCAAATCCAGCCAAGGGCATCAGCACAGCCACCAGGTACACAGAGGCTGGGATAGTGGCCAGAAGGTCAGGTCCCAGTAAGGAGCCAGTGAGGATGAAGAGGATTATGAGAGTCACCATCAAGGACCACAGAGATACCTAAGGGGAGATTTAAGATCTTTAAATCATTTGAGTTTTGCGATACATGTACAGTAAACCTCACATAAGTCGTATCAGTTGGGACCATACATTTAATATGACTTGGGCAAAGTATGAGTCATGTCAAACTTGCATACAATATAAACTCTTGAACAGGACTTCGACAGATGTATGACTTGATTATACGATTTATACAGATCAGACCTGCAAGTTTTACTGCAGATGATTTATTATATTAATAAATATTTCTCAAATTTACATAAAAGTTCAGTTGGATTTGTTGTAAATTTAGATATTCAGTTGAATGTTAAAGATCTCATCGTGACACAATTCAAAATGAAAAAGGAGTTTGTCCCGGTGTCCTGACCAACAACAATCCAATATAATGGCATTCTTCTCACCTCAGGCACTGACCACATTGACTGGCATGGATGCTCACACCACCTCAACGACTTGTATGACACCCCTCGCCCTTTCAAGTCTTACATCCAGGTTCTCACTGATTTTGTTTTCCCTAAACTCCAAAACATCACCCGCCTCTGTAATTAACTGTCCCATTGGGCTGCAGAGTTGACACTGCTGAGAGTCTCAACTCTGCAGTCCAAATCCTCTCCCCCTATAGGCTCTTTGAACCTATAAGCCCTGTCCTCACTCAGCTGCACTGGCTCCCCATCCCCCAGCAGATCAAATTCAAGATCCTCATCCACACATTCAAATGTCTCCATGGGCTCACCCCTAAACTGCTTCTGTGACCTACTACGCAGGCCCATCCCTCCACTCAACAAACACCTTCCAATCCACCCATCATCAAAGGGTGAGATTTCAGTTGTTCTGCTGCTGCTCTCTGAAACTCCATCCTGGTGTCCCTCCATTCTTGCCTCTTCCCTCTCGACCATTAAAACCTACCTGAAGATTTATCTTTTCAACCATGCTTTAAGTCGCCTTCCCCCACACCCACACAGTTCCCCAAATCCCCAAATTTCTGCACCCCTCCCCCTGTCACTCTCCCCCCTCACTTCCCCCCCGCCCCCGCTTGATCTCAGTCAGTCATCTGTGTGAGGTGCTTTGATACATTCTCCAAACATGAAAGTTATATAATTTTAAATTGTTATTGCAGTATATTTCATGACTCCATGCAAACTGACTCACATTGGCTACAAATACACAGCCAGTGGAGAATAGAAAGCAAAATGTGTCATACACCATGTGAGTTGTGCTTCGCCCATTGGCTCAATAAATTACGTAGTGCAATTTGGCCCCTGCCTCTATGTGAACACTATGGTTCTACTTGATAACAACAATTTCCTTGACATTACAGGTGCTATATCAAATGGAAGTATTTCTATTTCATTTATGTATTACAGTGTGTTAATGTATTCATTAATGTATTACAGGAAGGCTAGCCTTTCTAATCATTAAATGAGGAAGTCTGCTTTCGAAATGTGCTGTGATAGTTTCTCCTATCAGAAGAAACTGGTTATGCTACTTCTGATTGCTTATTAATAAGTAAATATATTTTTTGCCAGTGAATAATAGAAAACAAAATGCGTCATACATCATGTATGTATGTTGTGCTTCTCCCATTGGCTCAATAAATGATATAATGCAATTTGATCCTTGCCTTTATGTGAGCATGTACATTATGGTTCTGCTAAAAAAAACTCTGTCATTGTTAAAATATAAAATAAAACATTATACGTTTTAGTGTGACCTTTCATCAAAATTCTGGTCTTCCTTGAGGAGGGGGTAAACGGGATGTCCTTGGGCTGAGCTGGCTCCTATATAGCATGCTTGGCAATGGAACATCAGAAATGAAACCTCTGTGGTGGTCTTGGTACAGTCATCTAATTCCTGGGCCTGACTGGTCCACAGTATTCCAGGGCACTGTTGGTGACAGACCAGGCAGGCTGGCTTGTCAATAGGTCTTTGAGGGACAGATTAGTCACTGAGGGTAAGGATTCTTTCACTCAGCTCCCTTTAATCCTGCATGCCCAAACCATCATGGGTAATGTGGTCCTAAGCTGGACAATAAGCTGGATGCTGCTTGTTTAATCGCAAGCTTTACAGTTTTACCATGTTTAATGGCAAGCTTCAGCCTCTCTGGCCCTCCCCCGCCCACCCACCCCCTAGAACTCCATCCCACAGTCCCTCCGCCTCTCGCCCCCTCCCTTGCTGCTTCAAGACTCATCTCAAGACCCTCCTCTTCGACCGTGTCTTTGAGGTGCCTTCGGTCTCCTTCCTACCCCTAATCTCACGCCCTCCACACTTCCTGATCCCAACCACCAGCTCGGGTACAGATCCCTGACTGTCTAGCACATTGGGAGGTCCTCCTAATGTGAAGGGCGCTATACAAATGTAATTTGTTGTTGTTTTAGCTGGTTAAACTCCAGAGGTTCCCCCATTGTACTGTGTGGAGTCTGCAAACCTTGATACTTGAAATCCTGCAGTTCCTACTCTCACTAATTAGGTAAGTAGAGTGCATCTCCTCAGGCAGAGAGCATGCACTCCATTTCACACAAAGGGAAATTTCCATACATATATCGAACTCTCAGTCTGGTTTGATGATAGATTTCAGCATGTGTCAATACACCCAGATAATAAAAAAAGATTGGTCATATGCGAATTGACCTTTAGATCCTTTCTCAATATTACCACTCACTACTTCCCGACACCTACTCCAGCTCCAATTTCCTGATGGTGCCTACACTCCCTGGAACTCTCCCAAAATCTCTGCCTCCCTCATAATTCTGCTTTGTACAACAACTTGCTTTTATAGAGCACCCTTCATCCAAGGTAGCACCTCAAAATGTTTGTAATAATAATCCTTGCATTTGATATAGCGCTTTATGATGTAATTGAAACATCTCAAAGGACTTCACAAAATATATTGTAAAGTGGATTGACTATATTTTGTGGGTGAAACGTGGCAGCCAATTGCGCACATCAGTGTCCCACAAACAGTCATGGATTAAGTGAATTTTTTTATATATAAGTTTAGAATTTACAAACTCTTTTAAAATCTATCTCCTTTTCTTCCTGTTCAGTGCTCATTATCAACCATGTGCACTTCCAGATATTATTCTTAAGTGAAAGGTTCATCTTATCCTGAATTTCTGTTAATTTACCTGTTGTACATGTTCTCTTTTCAGTACCTCAATTTTTGTTTTGGTCATCCAAAACAAAATGTATCTGCACATTGTCATTGTAATATATTTCATAACTCCATGCAAACTGACTGTCACATTTATCTACAAATACACAGCCAGTGGAGGGTAGAAAACAAAATGTGTCATACACCATGTGAGTTGTGCTTCGCCCATTGGCTCAATAAATGATATAATGCAATTTGGCCCCTGCCTTTGTGTGAACACGTACACTATGGTTCTCACTGATAACAACAATTTCCTTGAAGTGACAGGTGCTATATCAAATGGAAGTATTTTTATTTCATTTATGTATTACAGTGTATTAATCTATTCATTAATGTATTACAGGAAGGCTAGCCTTTCTAATCATTAAATGAGGAAGTCTGCTTTCAAAATGTGCTGTGATAGTTTCTCCTATCAGAAAAAAACTGGTTATGCTACTTCTGATCCCTTATTAATCAGTAAATATATTTTGTGCCAGTGAATAGTGGAAAACAAAATATGTCATACCTCATGCTTAAAGGTATCCAAACCAAACTGAGATTTCCAATGCATCCCAGGTGCACATGGAAATCCCAGAGACAGATTGTTGGGAGGGAATGCGCACTCTCTCCCTGGAGGGATGCATCCTGCTCACCTAATTCTGAAAACTATGAAGCGCTGGTTGGCAAGAGGCAAGGCTTGGGATCCCCAGAGTGTGGGTTGGGATAACTGCTGGAGTCTAACCAGCTAACACTGCATAGTTTGCCATTGATAGCACTGTCTGTCACTGCCAGCCCTACCCCCTAGGCTTTGTGTAGTTGGGTTAACATGAGTGAGGAGGGCAGACTCCCTGCTCCCAGTGACTGTACTCTCCTTCCACGAACTGCTGATGAGCTCAGCCACCAACACTGGAACAAAATCATCTCTTACTATACCTACAGGAATGTGGTTTCCCCGCCTCTTCCTGAATTCCTGATACCGCCTATGACTTACTCTATAGGTCACTACGAACTACAACACTTGTATTACAATATAACAACCAGAACATTTACCTGTAACCTCATTTGCGATCATTTCTGAGCTGTGGGACATTTGCACAGACACGTGAGTTCTGACATGTATTCCTTTCTTTTTTTTATAAAAAAAGGTGTGGAAGTAAAGCGATTAAGTCACACTTGGTGTGATCTGGGAGTTGGGCTTATTGCAGGCAGGAAAAATGTTAGTAAGGTTATTGCTAATCGTGCTCCTAAATGCGAACCTAAATCACCTGCACTGAATATTATTGTCTGGGTTTGTAGTGTCTGCCGATCCTGTTATATATACCCTGTGCTCTGTAGGAGTCGATATGGGTCTATTGCTCGTTCTCTGCACTGAGGCAACCGGTAACGTTTTAAAGCGTTGGATGGTCTTTTTTTTTTTGATTTGGGCAATGATGCAGTTTCACATGACCCTGTTCCTTGTTGGGTGTCAGGACGTGCTGTGCGGTGCGGGGAGCGTTTGCGTTGGTGTTGCAGGTGCAGTAAATGTTCTATTAAACGAGTGCAACCGTGCACTTCTTTGGCCTAAAAGAGCAGTTCACCCCAATGCAAACTCTTGGGACAATAAAGGCTGGGGAGACACCCATTGCACTCCCTCCGCCAAATTATTAGGAAATATTTAGAACACACGTTTGCTGTGCTAAGTGGGTACTCGGAGCAGATTTTCTGATGCATCCGCCAATACTTCTGGTCGACAATCTATTTTAGACGGATCCCAACGTCCAGTGTAGGAATTAACGTGCTTTTGTACCGTATTATTATTATTTTTATTCTTCTTCTTCTTGTTGCATTGCACTGCCTGCCTCTGCAACCCCCCCCCCCCCCCCTCTCTCTCTCTCTCTCTCTCCTATCATATCATATCATATGCTCCAGTCTGTATGTCAGCCTCTGACCCCTCACCCCCTCCTCTTGCAAACCTCCAGTTTGACACTGTGATTTTCCGGGGGGGGGGGGGTTTGGGGGGTGGGATTGGGAGTTGTTTGCACATCGCTGATGCCCCGAAAGTTTGCGCATTTGGAGTGCAATGTGTGCCATTACCTTCAGCAGCAGATCTGCAGCCCTGCTGTACCTGCATCTGATGAAGACTCCCAGACCTATGGGCACTAAGGTGCTGCACAGCGTCAGCGATATTGCCCCGAAGGGCAAGAGCTCGACCACGGGGGTGTTGATCCAGGCTCTGCTGTACAGCCACAGACACACGGGCATCAGCAGCAGAGCCAGGAGCGTGGAGGAGGCAGTCATGATCACACTGTGGAAAACAGTCAAAACAGGTTACACAGCCGTTGGGCACAAGTCCACACACGAAAGGGTCGCAGCGGACACACTCCACTCACACGTTAGCCCGAGATACATTTCTTCTGCCTCTTAAATGCAACAAGAAGCTGCAGTAAAGACCATTGGAGTTGCACCCCGTTTCCTCCATCCACCTGTTACCAGGACCCTCACCAGCCTGTCCTGTCCCTCACCTGGTAAACGTTGCGTTGTATTCAAAGGTCTATTTGGTTGCACGCAAACCCCCCCCAACCACACACACACACACACACACACCACCCCTCCGATGACTTTTCTCCACTGTTTTTTTGCAATAACATCCATCAAATGACATCCATGCATTTCTGAGAAGAAGAAGAAGAAGAAAAAAAAAACACGAGAAAAACGCAAGTCATCAGAAGCCCAAATTAAACACCACCGTCTGTCGGATTTTGGAGAGAGTAAATTGTGAGGATGCAAACACTTCAATGCAGTGGAGAAGACTTTCCATTCAGAATAGTGTATCTGATTAAGAAGGAAGAGATCAGATGGCACATGTTACTATAAAATATCCTCTCTATCCAGTAAATATTAACTCCCAGTCGCAACTATTATAGAATTTTTTTCTTCTTCTCTCCTTTTTTCTCTCTCTCTCTCTCTCTCTCGCACACACACACACACACACACACACAGGGTTCATTCATTTATTCATTCATCCTGTCTGTTTGTCTGTCTATCGATCTATCAATCTCTATTTAAGATCATAGTTATACACCTATACGGAATTGGTGTTGACTGATGGGACGAGGCGGTGGAGTGTGCAGTGAGGTTTTCTATAGCACAAGGGTGGGTACCTGAGGTTCATTTCGCCATTGACCAGGAGACACATGATGTTGGAGAGGTTTCCTCCAGGGCAGCAGCCACAGAGCAGCACAGAGATAGCAGCCACTTCGTTCAGAGAGAACATAAGAGCCAAGAGGAAGGCAATCAGAGGCATGATGACAAACTGCGAGATAGCAGCGAGCAGGACTCCCATAGGTCTCTTGATGTGATCTGCAAGGTGGTTGATCTCCACCGTGCAGCCCAGCCCCAGCATTGTAAAGCACAAGATCACCCCTACAAATACATTGATACCGTGGTTCAGGGCAGAGTCCCAGAAAGGCACTTGCAGGTCTGCAGCAGGGACCTGAGTGGAGGTACCATCATTCAGAGTCCAGGCTTCCTGAGTCCTTACAGTGAAGGTTTCCACACTTGTCTGGTTGGTAAGTTGCACGGAGGTGCTGTTGTAGAGATCTGTCACGTTATAACTATCTGGGAAAGCTGAGGGCCCCCAAGTCATATTGTCCTGTGAAGTGTAGTTCTCCATCTCTCTGCTCTTGCAGTGTGTGTGTGGCTGATTCCACTGGAGACACGGCACTCATCTCCAAAGCCCTCTGGTGTTGCACTGAACCCAGGCTGGTGGGTGGGTTTGCCAGAGGGAAAGTGACTTTAAATGCATTCCATCCACTTTCCCACTGACCTACCGATCGATGGTTTCTCCCAGTGGGATCTCATTGGAGAACTCAGAGGCCACGACTTCACTAAGTGCTCCCAAATAACTCGGATCAACATCTTCTTAAAGCGAGGACGTGAGTCCAGCAGCAACGACTGACATACATCCGCAGTGCTGCACTTGGCCATCCCTATTGTTACTGTATTTAGTATTTCTTAGGCTTAATTACCTGACATTCGCAGGTGAGATGGTCAAATGCACAAAATGGAAGAATAACATCGTAGAAAGGACAATATTATTATTATTATTATTATGTATGAATTCTGATCCTGATACACTGAACCTCAATCGAACCGCATACAATACAAGTCGAAGTTGACCGTAAACACAAACACCGGCTCAGGTGGGAGCATTCTTACAACTGAATCAGAAGGTTGTGAGTTCAAGTCCCACATTAGGACGTTGAACTGGCAGTGTTGCCTGGCACGCCAGTACTGGGCAAGTGCTGCGTTGTTGGAGGTGCTGTCCTTTGCATGAGGTGTTGAACTCTAAAAGTCTGTGGTTAAACATCTATCTGCTTGATCAGGTGGTTGAAGATCCCATTGCCCTATTCGAAAAGTAAATGCAGTTTCTCCCGGTGTCCTGGCCAACAATCCCCCAAATAAAATTGATCATTCACTTTGTTGCTGTTTGTGGGGCAATGATGTGCATAAATTGGCTGGTGCATTTTACCGCAAATACACAATAATTACGCCTTCCATTAAAGCTTGTGAAAAAAAATCTGGGTAGGTTTGAATTCCAGATACCCGGAGTTTATTGTAGTTCACACGGAATATCATTATGCACAGAGAAAATGCTGTTGTTAAAATTGTGGATGTGGAGGATGCGAGTAAATATTTTTTCTTTCTGTGCCGTTGTTCAGCAGATTGAGGTATTGAATTCTGGACTGCACTAGTAAAAGTGTTTCAGATGTAAATTGCATCTCAGACAGGAAAGCTCATGACCTGCAAACACTATGCTCTGCTGTTAGAGCATTCGTGTGAATTGGCATACAAGGGATGTCCTACGTACTTCACATCCCAAGGCCCTTTTTCTGTTTCATCCCCAAAGTCCATTATCCCATGACGGCTGAGTGCACTGGCTGTATAGTAATCTATTAGGAGAAGGTTTTCGGTTTATGGGTTGAGAAATCCCAAATTGATTCACATCAGCCTTTTACAGCTGACATGCAATGGAGACTTTCATCAATGCCTTTAAGATGAAACTTGTTGCATGAATGAGATAGAAGTGAAAAGAGCGATTTGGAAAGTTGTGTGCTTTGCAGACAGATCGCCTCAGAAGGGTGTTATACGAATGCAAGTTGTTGTTCTGTGGAGGAGGCTGAGATTCATTTAAGGTGGTGAAGGCTTATGTGGTGTATATATTCTGACATGGACTAGTTAGGTCAAATGACATGTTTTGGTGTTGTCACTTCTAGGTAATTCTATGTAACCTAGGTATCTGGGCTGCATTCAAAGTTTACTCCCAAAGCTGAAAGTGTCTAACCCACTGCCCCACCATTCTCCTTATTGAATCATATTTTTTGTTTATTTTAGATAAAGTCACCTTGGTGGTTGATTTCTTTACTTTAATGTGTTAAAACTGAATTTTTACTTTCTTCACTCTGGTGAAAAACAAAATGAGAAATGCAGTGTTCTAATTCACTGATAAACAAGAAAACTTGTTTCAGGCTGCTGTTAGCCACATTTGCATGCTTACATGGAGATTGATGTTTCTAGATGTGTTGAATCAATCCTGTTGGTCTTGTTTCAATTCCATTCATGGGTGTGCTGATTATATTACATTAAACTGATGATGAATGATGTAATACTCCCTGTGACTCATTAGAGCTGATGGCTCATACGAAGACCTTGCTTCCTCACCGTATGACCACAGTACACCTGACACTGAACCAACATATTTGTAAGAGCTTATTGTTTTAATTGCACAAAATGACAGCGATGTAAACACAACCCTCTATGTAAAACAGAAATTTACCTTTAGATCTGGTGATGTACATATGTGTAACACTGCATCATATGGACTCATTTTAAATCGATCAAAGACAATGATTACACATTTCATTCTCATTGATATCTGATTTCTATAGAAGGTTAAGGAGTTGTTATAAAAATGTTATTGGGATCCATTTGACACAAAAATAAGCTGAATGGCCTCCTATTATGCCATATATTTCTATGGATCTATTAATTGGATTGGATCTAGCCTTACTGAGTTTGACGTTCCTATTTACATAGTAGGTGTTCATGTTACAAAGTTACCAAGTTCAGCTGGGTCATTATGCTAAACTAAGGAATCTGCCAAAGGGATAGAGGAGATTTTGCAAAACAGTTGATTGCACAAAACAGCCTAACTAGGAGCCTGTGGAGATACCCTTCATTGGCAAGTCACTCACCCATAGGTTGAAGGATCTGGAAAGGGAAGAAGATGTAAAAATTATAAAATGTTAAATGTCTGTGTGAATAAAATCTATGTAGCTGCAAATGAAGACATAAAGATGAAAAGTTTCTAATGAGTTTCTAATGCCCAGGATAGTTGGGATTCCTATACAGAAACTGCTGACTGCAAATTCAGGGTATAGCAATTAAACACATAGTGGGCTGTGATGCTGCATCAACTTCTCAATGCATTGCATTAAGTATTATTTTACGTATATGTTTGCTGTATGATTAGTGGTTAGTGATCAGAGGCAGGAACCCTCCCTAACCTGGGCTCTGACAGTATATAGAGAGCCCCTTAGTGTCACCCCAACTGAGATCATCTATCTTAGCAACACCACCACCAAACAACACAACAACAATATGAAGTCATATACATTCTCAGTGCACTTTACAGAGATGCTGCAAGACATAAGCAGAATGAGTGAGGGAGGAGGAAGGTGACTGTAAGAATGATCAAAGAGATAGACTTTTGAAAAGAGGATACATTACTTTCCAGATACAGGAAATGTCAATATGTAGGCAGCAGACATACGTGAAACTTGTGGACCTGAAACATTGACTCACTTTCCTTTCTCCATAGATGCTGCCTGACCTGCTGAGTGTTCACAGCGACTTCTGTTTTTGTTTCAGATTTTCAACATCTGCAGTATTTTGTGTTTTGTGAAACTCTCAGTCTGGTTTGGGTACTCTTAAGCATAGTCATGGATTTCTGCATGTGACCAGAAAAAATTCTATTGCCTTTTTATAAAGAAAATATTGCGTTTTCAAGGCTCCCTTTTGAATTGTTTCTGTATTTGTTTCAGAAAATGAAGCTGCTCCTTCTGATTTCTGGAATCCTCTTGGCAGTGCAAGGTAAGAAGCTCATTTGCAGGAACCTCACCAAAGCCAAACAACTAGTTTCCTGCAAACTATTGAACCTGTATTGAAACTATATATACTATATATATATTATATACAAACTCTGAACCTCTCTCCCTCAAACCCTCCTCCTTGCCCCCTCTTTCCCCATCTTCAGGTCACTCCTAAAGACCTTCCTCTTCGACGTGCTTACGGTCACCTCCCCCCCAGCTCGGCATCATGCTCTGCCACTGGCTGTGTAAATGCAAATTGGTGTGTTGCAATGATTTGAAATGATTTACTGACCTCTGCAATTTAATATTAAAGCCTGATAATTAATAGATATTTATTTGTATTCATACAACAAGAGCACCTTCTGTCATTTAGATGTGTTTTGGATTGTGAGACCTTCATAAGTGTTGATTTTGAATTTGACTTTAATGTTCATTTGTCGGTATCTGTGCTCTTTATAGGCTGCCCACGGATTATAAAACATTCTGATTGGACAAACATTCCTTCTCAATGCAACATAGCCCTGGAGAAGCCAGAACCCTTCATTGTGATTCATCACACTTCTGGCAAACGTTGCTTCCACAAGACAACGTGCAAGCGTGAGCTCCAAATTATCCAGAAAAATCACATAAGTGTTCACCACTGGTGTGATATTTGTTACAAGTAGGTTCCTACAAGGAATTTCTTTGTTTTAATTGTGAATAAGCATTGCAAGATTTTTCTGTTTTATGCTTTGTGTTTTATGACTCCTAATTTTGTGTTGAAATGATTGAATGAATAAAGTGGGCGACGCTCTACGAGGTCAGTTTTGTGGTATTTCTTAATGCAGTATTTCCTAATTGAGAAATCCCTTTAAGAATTATATAATGTAATAATAACACTTGCGTTTACATGCACCTTATCAGATTGTCAAACTGTCTCAAAGTGTAGAGTGATGTCTATGTGATTGGAGGAGAACCAGCGCACAATTTTGCATACAGCATTGTCCTATAAACAGCCATGAAGTGAGTGACCAATTTTATTTGGGGGATTGTTGGCCAGGACGTCGGGAGAAAATCCCTTCTCTTTTCAAATAGTGCCATGGGATCTTCAACATCCACCTGAACAGGCAGACAGAACCTTTTAACTTCTCAAGGATGACACCTCTGACAATGTTGCATTCCCCTAGCACTGCGATGTCATTCAAGATGATGAGCTCAAAATCCAATGTGGGGCTTGAGTCCACAATATTCTAACCAGAAGCAAGAGTGCAGCCAACTACACTAGGCTGATCTGACTCACAAAATTCACTCGTTTATCTAATGTCCTAGGTTCCTTAAATATAGTGTGCATTCCGTATACACAGACAGCTTTTAACCTCCTAACGCCACAGTATCTTTAAAAAGGTAAAGCATAAAAATAAGCCACTCGGTCCAATCAGTCCATGCTAGTATCTATAATCCTCATGAGTCTCCACCCACTCCTTATTCCCTCCCAATCCATTCTGTTTACCTCTCCCTCATTGAAGGTCTAGCTTCCTCTTGAATGCATCTATAATATCTGATTCAACTGCCGCTTAAGGTAACCAGTTCCACAATCTCTCTATCCACTGTGTGTTCCTCCTATATTCTTTTAGATTCCATAGTTGCTATCTTATACTTGTGTCTCCTGATTATAGCGGAAACAGTCTATTTATGTGAATCTTATCAAAGCATTTTATAATTTTAAACACCTCGATCAGCTTCCCCCTTAAACGTCTCTTCTCTAATGAAGAAAGGCTAACCTATCCAGTCTATGCTGATGATAGTAATCTGCCAACCCTGGTATCATCCTAGTGAACCTACACTATACTCTTTCTATTGTTGTTTTATCCTTCATATAGTGTGGAGACAGAACTGGATACAGGACATAGTTCAAATGTGTCTAACCAAGGTTTTGTACAAATTGAACATTACATATTCTATCCCTTTTGATATGAAGCCCTATACACTTGTATTTCGCAAGCAGGAGACCTGGGTTTGTTTCCTGGCAGGGCGAAATGTTGGGCAAGTTTCCTTACTTCACACGCCTCTATTTACTTAGTAGTAAGTAGGAACCCAGTTGTTAGTCGATTGGCGGATTGCTTTTCCGGTTGTAATAATTTCTTCAAAACAAATAATAGGTTGGTCACTTCAATCCACGACTGTTTGTAGGACACTGCTGTGCACAATTGGCTGTTGCGTTTCGCCCACAAAATATACAGTCAATTCACTTTACAGTATATCTTGTGAAGAGCTTTGAGATGTCTTGAAGACATGATAAGGCGCTATATCAAATGCAAGAATATTATGAAGCTATGTTGCTTAAAAAGTATGGGATTGGGTAAAGATAAAATTGTAGTGAGTAAACTTTTAATTAACCTTGTAATTTTATTTGTCTTTGGCTGTCAGGCCCATTCTGTTTTATGTGCAAAATAAAGTAAAGAACTACAGACAACATAGCAATTTTCTGTGTAGTGAGAAGAATAGTATTTTGTACTGTGCACATATTGTACATATTCTTTGGGACAATTACTGTGATATTCAAAGCTGAATCCAAGTTGGATAAATTGGTGCACTGTAAATGCAACATTGTGTAGCCATTGGATTTGTTCTCCTTTTCAAATCTTGGCTGTTCTCTGGATGATTCCTTAATTTTGTTAAAGAGTCAGTCATGGCATTGATTCCTCAGTAGCAACAACTCACACCCAATTTCAAAATAGTGTGTTAGTTATTGACTGCCCGTAGCCAATGTGATGAGAGCAGAAAATATGAATCAGGCTTCTGGTGACAAGTTCATTTATTACTGAAAGCTTGCTACAATGCAATACAATTTAAATACATCTGTGCTTTCATGTTGGGAAAATGTTTCAAAATGCTTAAGGCAATATCACAATGTACTGTAAAGGGAGTTAGTTTGCACCCTTGATAAATTATAGCTTGTTTGATTTCCATGTCATAATTAAAGGGAAAATAAAATCTTGGAGGCATTTGCCTCTTTACAGCTTCCCTCTAAAGAAAAAATACATTGAGCCATACCTTAAATTATATTTGTGATAGCAAAAAAAGGTGTTTCAATATTTGAAAGTTACATTATTTTGTTGGAAGAGTATGTGTGTGTGGGGCGCGGGGGGCGGGGGTGGGGAGGTGGCGTGGTCGGGGTGGTCATCATTTAAAATTGGTGATCTCAGTTGACACTTTCCATCACAGAGAATGACCCGCTGGTCTCTTCTTCTGCAAGTCCAATACTGCTGACAATAGTTGATTGAAGCTGTGATTTTCAAAGCTGAATACAGGTTGAGATAAATCTGTGCATTGTAAATGCAATCATGTGAATCCATTGCAGCTCTTCCCCCAAATAACCTAGTGAACTTTGCCAAGTTTACTGAATTTGATTCCACTTTAAGAACAATAATGTGTGCATTTTCTTAAATATCATTGTTTACATTGAATCATACTCACTGCTTGGTCTACAGGCTTGTTTCCTAGTTACACATTTTGATGCCAGAGAATGGAAATGTCTTGTCAACTAATCACATCCTCAACCATTGTCTGGGTATCATCAATCATGACTCATTGCAAGTCAGGTTTCACCACATATAAACCTTAAGGCTCCAGCCTAGGCCCCCTTCTTTTCCTTATATACATGCTCCCTCTCGGCGATATCATCCGCAGACAACTTCCACATGTAGGCGGATGATACCCAAACTACTTCTCGTCGAGCTGCGACTCCCAGTCCGCTGATGTTCTGTCAGCTTGTATGGCGGACATGAAGGCCTGGATGAGCATGAATTTCTTGAAGCTGGATGTCGGCAAGATAGAAGTCACACTCTTTGGCTTCCGTCAATGTCTTCTTTCCTGCGGGTTTGAACTCCTCAACCTCCCTGGGCTCTCCCTCAGATTCTCCGAACCCATGCGCAATTTAGGCGTCAGTTTTGATCCCCATCTTTCCTTTCTACCCCACATCCATTCCCTGACCAGGACCACATTTGTCCACCCCAATTACATTGCCCACCTCCATCCGTACCTCACAACCAACATAGCTGAAAACCTTGTCCATGCCTTCATCACTACGCAAATATTCCAATGCTCTCCTCACTGGTCTCCCCAGCTCCACCATCCACAAAATTCAAATAATCCAACACTCTACCACTCAGATACTCACCCACACAAAACTCTGCACCCCCATCACACCAGTTCTTGCCAGCCTCCACTGGCCATGATATGAATGGTCAATTAATTTGTAGAATTGTTGGGAAACGCATGAAGGGAAACTTCCTTCCCTCTCAAGTAGGATAACTTTTAATACCCCTCTGAAGAACAGGCAGACAGGAGCTGGGTTTAACATCTCATTCTAGAACAAATTGTGGCCATTTTGTATCCAGCAATACATTCAATTTGCATTAAACAGGGCATTTGTTCATTTATTGGTTTGTTCACAAGGATTAATCCTGGAGTTTGAATGGAGTTATGAGTGGAGATTCATAGAGTTGAACTTGTTTCCATGGGAAAAAGAAGGTTAGGAGCGAGGGCTTTAATTCAAATCTTTAAGTGTAGTAAACACTTGATAACTTGTCACTCCAAGGAAAAAGAGCTCAGCAAATAGTTATCCGGAATGACCAGTTAGGCTTAGATTCCGTGGCCACAGGGGGCACTGTGACTAGTGCAGGTGCTCAGCAGAGGTTGAGCACACATGCTCAGATGTCGCACAGGCCTTTGGTCTATTGGAGGGCCATGTCATAGCCTACCACCCTACCCTGTCACAGAATAGGGTGGGAGCTGGGGCAGGGCCTACAGCATGGATTATATAAACATAATCAAGATATTTGATTTTGATTACATAAGATTGGTTTAGATGGAGTAGGAACTTAAGCACATTTGATCTCATCTTCCAGAATACCCACAGTACCATCCTGCCATTACAGCATCAAACCTTTACTTAAATGACTTCAGGATCCTGAGATCCACCATTGTCTCCTCATAAAACATTGCAGTTTCCTCAGAAAATAAAGTAGATGGAATAAAGGCAATGGCACAGTTTGGCTGGTCTGTGAAAGCAGTGGGCTCAATGGCTGGAATGATCTTTCTCATTTCTCTTTCCCTATTTCATAAAGGTGCAAAGATAGTGAAGGTAGTCAGCATTGAACTCATTATTGTCTTCCTCTCTCTCTTTTATTCAGTTTCCTTATTGGAGAAGATGGGAACATCTATGAAGGTCGTGGATGGAACAAATCGGGAGCCCACACTCCTCAATTCAATCATCTCAGCTTTGGAATAGCGTTCATGGGGAACTTTATGAGTGAGTAAATATCTTTGTACATATTATCGTACAATTTGCACCATCATAATGTGAGGATGTTTTATATAATAATACTGGTTACTTAAAAGTGAAATGCTTGCTGATCCCTTCAGTGTCATATTATATTAACATCAGTTTGTGGATGTCTCCATGCATCAAAAATTGTGTTTACAGTAATTGGACAATTACTATTGACTTTAAAATCACAAACACACATAAGCTCATATTTGTGAATGGCAATTTTAGGGCACACTAAAGGTATGTAGCCACTGGAATAAGTTACCACAAAGGATGTTTACAGCCCGGTTACTGCATTCATTCAAGAAACCCTGTGATGCTGTAATGGGACAACAGAAGGGTTGATATTCTGAAAGGAAAAGCCTCTTCATTTGGATCTCTTGCAATATTTTGTGAATGTATTGTTTCTCCTTTTAGTGAATCATTCAGTTTCATAAGAAAGTGTCTTTGTTTGGTTGCAGAAGATTCTCCTAACAACCTTGCGGTGATTGCTGCCACAAAATTGATAAAGTGTGCCATTTCCAAAAATTACCTGGTATCCCACTACACACTGAAAGGCCATAGGGATTTGGGGGAAACAACTTGTCCTGGAAACTCTCTCTACAAAACAATAAAGGAATGGCCTAAATGGTAGGCCTATTAATATCAGAAATTTATGCAAGCTATTTGTATATGTAATTGAATCAGCACCATATAAATGTCAACATTGCATGCTTAAGATACTGTACCAAAGACAATTTAATGTCATTCAAAAGTAGTCACAATAAAATGCATTAAAATTAAATTCCAAATACAGTGTGATGTCAGAATGTTCTGTTGGCAATGTTTAGCTTGTGACTAGAAGGGCATCAGCAACAACAACAACAACGACAACTTGTGAACGGCAATTTTAGGGCAAACTGAAGGAAGTTATCATAGAGGATGGTTACAGCCCGATTGCATTTATATAGCACCCCTCACACAGGGTAGAGTCCCAGAGCACTTGACAGTGGCAGAGCACAGTGGCGAACTGGGGTGAGGGGCAGGCAATAGTATTCACGGTTGAAGAGGAAAGTCTTCAGGCACGACCTGAAGATGGGGAAGGAAGGGGCAAGGCGGAGGGAAAGAGGAAGAGTGTTTCAGAGTTTCGGGGCATAGTGGATGAAAGCGCAACCACCAGTGGTGGAACGAAGGTCACGAGGGACATGCAGAAGGCCGGAGCCAGTTGAGCAGAGGCAGCAGGTTGTCGGTTGGAGGGTAAGCAGGTTGGAAGCAGGGAATGAAGGGATTTGAAAACAAATGTGAGGATATTAAAATTGATTCATTCAGTGATAGGGAGCCTGTGGAGCCTAGCTAGAACTGGTGTGATGGGGTTACGGAGTTTAGTACAGGTGAGTTTGCGGGCAGTGGAGTTTTGGATAAGCTGGATCTTGTGCATGGTGGAGCTGGGGAAACCGGCAAAGCGGGCATTTGAGAAGTCGAGTCGGGAGGAGACGAATGCATCAATTTGTTTCGGCTGCATCTGGGGTAAGGTACGGTCGGAGATGGGTAATGTAGCTGAAGTAGAGGAAGGCGGTTCTCTACACAGAAAACGAATGTGGGGAAGGAAGGATAGATGTGGGTTGAACCTGACACCTAGTTTGCACACTGGTTCGGTAAGTCTGAGGGATAGGCCGGAAAGGTTGAGGAGATCAGAATGACAGGTTGGAAGACGTTGATGGGAGCCAATGTGTATGGATTCCATCTTGTCAACATTTAGTTGTAGGAAGTTTTCACCCATCCAGGCCCTGATGTCCACAACATCAGCGGATCTGGAGTTGCAGCTGGAGCAGGAGAATTAGATTTGTGTGTCATCCACATACATGTGGAAGTTTACCCCATGTCTACAGATGATATTTCCAAGAGGGAGCATGTAGATAAGGAAGAGGAGAGGGCAAAGGATGGAACCCTGGAGTTCACCATCGGTGACCGGTGGGGGGTGGCGGGAGGAGAAACTGTTTGAGGAGATAATGTGGAGGTGGTTTTGTTTGGTAGGACTCGAGCTAAGCTAGTGCAGTTTCACTGAGGTGGATGAAGTAGGAGAGGCGGTGGATGAGGATGGTGTGATCAACTGTGTCGAACGTGGCGGAGAGGTCCAGGAGGACGAGGAGACAGAGGGAGCCCTGGTCACAAAGAGAGAGGATGTCATTTCTGACATTGATAAGTGCTGTCTCTGTGCTGTGACCAGGGAGAAGACCAGATTGCAAAGGCTCGAGGAGGGAATGGAGCAAATTGGTTAGCGACAACTCATTCCAGACCTTTGGCAAGGAAAGGCAGGTTGGAAATGGATTGGTAATTTGTGAGTTTGGAGGGTGTCAATGGTGGGCTTTTAAGGAGGAGAATGATGACAGCGGTTTTAAGGGGGGGAGGAACAAAGCCTGAGGAGAGAGACTAGTTGACTGTCGGCCAGCTGCCGGGAGAGGAGGAGGAGTTGGGAGACCAGCAGCTGGGTGGGGACGGGGTCAAGGCAGCAGGTGGTGGGCTTCATCTAGTAGATGGTGGGGTAAGCAGATCTCTGAGGTAGGGAGGTGCCAGGGATGAAGGAACTAGGTGGTTTGGGAGGACGATAAATGAGGAGGGTTTTGAAGGAAAGGGAGAATGGTACAGGGTCAAGTGTTCAAAAGAAGGGAAGGAGCCGGAGGAATAGGGGAATAGAGCGAGGGAAGTTTGGGAGCTTTGGGAGATAAGGGCCACCCCGCCGCCATATCGGCTTGGGCAATAGGTGTGGTGAAAAGTGTAGCCGGGGAATGGGGGGGGAGGCTTCGATCAGGGGCACAGGGGGACAGCCAAGTTTTTGTGAGCCCAAGTATGTCAATGTGCTCATCCAGGATGAGGTTATGGATCATGAGGGCTTTATTTATTTAAGAGAGAGCAGATATTTTGGAGAGAAATGCGAGTGAGTGAGCGGGTGGCGTTTCGGCTTCGGAGACAGAGGGAGAGGTTTAGGCTCTGGGGGAGAATTGACCATGGAGGGTGGTGGGGGGGAGTTGGGAAGAGTAAGGAAGTGGATAAGGGAGGGGAACATAGGAACAAGAGGAAGCCGTTCAGCCCTTCGAGCCGGTTCGGCTATTTAATTAGATCATGGCTGATCTGTACCTCAACCAATCCTTTCAATTCTAATTTCCCGCTTTCTTCACATATCCCTTAATGTATTGCCAAACTGATTTGGCTTCCTGATTGCTTTGTTTTTGGTTGCCTCATGCTGTTTTGACATAGTGAGTGATGAGTCAATTAAGGTTTTTTTTTCAACCGGATGTCTGACACATACAGAAACCAAACCAAGCTGAGATTTCCATACATCCCATCTACACATGAAAACTCCAGCGATAGATTGTTGGAATGGAATGCACACTCTCTCCTTGGAGGGAAGCATCCTGCTTACCTAATTTTGGGAAGTATTAGGCACAGGTTGGCAAGAGCCAAGGCTTGGGGCTCTCAGAGTGTGCATTAGGGTACTGCTGGAATCTAACCAGTTAAAACCTCATAGCTTTCCATTGATATCGCTGTCTGGCAAGCTCTCCTGCTGCTTGTCCAGCTAGGACCACCCTACCCGTTAGGGTTTTGGTTTGCTGAGTTAACATTCCCTGTCCCCAGTGACTCGTCTGCCTTTCCAAGTCGTGATGATGAGCCAGACCTGCTGTCCTGTCATCAGTAGTGCCCTGGAATCATCATCCTTGCATTTGATATAGCGCTTTTCACGTCTTCTAGACGTCTCAAAGCGCTTCACAGAATGGACTGTAAAGTGAATTGACTGTGCATTTGTGGGCGAAATGCGAATACTGGGGACCCGCCTGGCTCAGGACTGGACTACTGAGACCACCACAGAGGGTTGGCTCAATTCCAACATTCCATTGCCAGGCATGTCACCTTGGAGCCAGTTCAGCTCCAAGGAGACACCATTTGCTACCCCACGGAGGTTAAGTCAATTAACAGCCTTAAGTCTCATTCGATATCAACATTATCAACAATAACAACCACAACAATAACCTGCATTGAGTTATCCTCCGGATGTGAAACATGCTATATAAATGCAATTTATTGTTGATCCAGAGTTATCATCCACTCGTGGAATCTTATTGTTTTAACTGCTAAACGCTTTCAGGGTAAAATAATTTCAACCAATTGGTGACAGTCTCTCCACAGAAATAATTTGCTTGTACACATTATCTAAATGATTAATAATTTTTAATCTGAATCGGAGACATGGCGTACAGTGGCTTATAACCAGTTTTGGTATTAAATTGGTATCAAATTGATATCAACTCTGAGATATTTGAAGGATCTTCCTAAACCAATTATATTTTTTGCTTCAGCCTCTCGGCCCCCACCCTTTGGAACTCCATTCCACAGTCCCTTCATCTTAATCCCTCCCTTGCCTCCTTAATGGCCCGTTTCAAGACCCTTCTCTTCGACCGCGCCTTCAGTCACTCTCCTACCCCTAACCTCCCTGCCCTCTACTCTTCCTCATCCCAACCTCCTACTTGGGTCCAAATCCCTGACTGTCCAGCGCCTTGGGATGACCTCCAAATGTGAAAGGCACTGTACAAATGTAATTTGTAGCTGTTATTATTTACATTTAACAATATTCTGGGAATTCATCATATTTTAGCATCATCTTTTAACGAATGTATATTTAATACAACCACCATATGCCAAGTTGGTTGTATTAAATATACATCCGCTACTCTATGTTCGTATATTCTGATAATTGCTGGGATATATTGAAATGATCTGGCGATTGCAGAGATTCATGGAGGGTGGAAGAGCTGGTGAGAAATGTGAGGCAATTCAAAAGCTCTAATTACCCAGTCCGTTGGGAGGAGATAGACTCAATGCCTTATCATTAATAAGACAACGGGTTCAGCTGGCATTAATGCTAAGTTCCTAAAACTCTGTTCTGAGGGTGGGATTAGTGAACAGAAAGGATCTTCTAGACCTTTGAACCCAGAAACAGCCAACTTGCCTGGTAGCTGCCCTCCTAATGCTAGTCAACAGGACTCTTTGAGGTATGCACTCTGTCAGTGTTTCCAGATAGAACTCCAGAGGGATCTCGCTGATTTCAATGGCTCTCAAGGTGGTGCTTTGAATCGTCACTGCTCATATATCGCACACATTGGAGGCTAATGATTTGATTAGGAAGAAACAGGCTGGATTCTGTTCTTGTTAGGAATGTGTGGAACAGGTTGTATGAGACTTTGTATGAGATCAGGGAACGTCATAAGACCTTTATCGATTTCCGCAAGGCCTCATGATGAAACTCATGATGAAACTGGAAGCCATGGGAATACATGGGTAAATCTTGGATTTTATCAGGAATACTTAACAATGGAATGGATTTCAAGCTCTAAGATCCATGTAAGGGTGATGGTAGACTCATTCTCACCTTATTCAATGTATTCATCAGTGACATGTTGGATCACATCAATGAGGACAGGCTTGACATATCTCTTCCAGGTTTTCCTGACAGGATTGCGGTGCTTTCACTCTATATTGCGCCTTATCACATCTTCGAGATGTCTCAAAGCACTTCACAGATTATACTGTAAAGTGAATTGACTATATTTTGTGGGCGAAACACAGCAACCAATTGCGCACAGCAGTGTCCACAACAAGTAGATGAGAACAACTAGATGCACTCAATCAACTGGGCAGGAAAGGCTATTTTAAGGGTGCAGTACAAAGCTGAAATGCAGAAATTGCAGAATAAGCAAAAAGAGGAACTTTTCTGTTAGTCACCTCTTCCCCTAGCAACAAGAACCTGGCTGTCTGTCAACTACTGGATTTCTGTGCACACTGTACATTTACACATCCTATTGCATTACTGGCGGCTTATTTTGGGTTACGCCATTTGAGGAAGTGAGTTGTGTTATTTTGACAAAGGATAAAAGAGGGAAGTATCAGGACTAGAAACCCACAAGGCATCCAAAGCAAGTCCACACTTCACTGTGATCTACACAACAGGGGACAAGATCTCAGGTAATGTACTGCACTGTGATGTACTGCAGCTTCAGATCACAGGTCTGAAAGGCAGCAGGTCACTGACTGTCAGCACAGAGCTGTATGTACAAGCTGCTTTACACTGTTTGCAAAATGGCAGCATTCCTAATCGCTTTAGTCACGAATGCACAGGTCACAGCAGGAAGTATGCTTTTAAAACATGTTGAGATCCACATATATTCATTCATTTGTTTAACTTCATTTGGCGTCATTTCTGAACTGGAGAACATTGGGCAAAGTTCCAACTGAAATAGTTTATGTATTCGGATGAAAAATCATTTTACTTTTCAATTAATTGTATTAGAAGGGAAGGGTGAGGTTAACAGAATATTGTTTTAAATTACAGTAAAATACTAAGGTTTAATCACAATTCGTCCCACGACTGATTTGCTTGCTGACTGCTCCAGGCAGGTTCTTCTGAAACCCACATACAGTTAAATCCTTGTGCTGCTAAAAGAAGCAGCTGATATCTGAGAAATAACACAGAAAATATTTAAACAAAGTGATAAATAACGTTAAATATTTTGTGTTGAGTGTACGTACTAGTCTGTAAAATCAAAAATATTCAGTAAACTAGCAAGTAAAGTTAGTAAATTTTAAAGGTGTTTGTTCTGAACAGAGTTGGCAAAGGCAGAGCATAGCCAAATAATTCTAAATTACTTGTAAATAGTTTGAAAATTGGTGAGTTAACACAATATTGTGGGAGAATTGTGTACAAGGCTAATAGATATAATAAGATTAGTTGGAAATCATTTGAGAAACTTATAACACGACAAGCCTAAATCTTTTTGAGACAATTGTTTAAAATCTGAGGGTTTCAAAGAGGGAGAATTAGAAAAAAATTCAGAAATGTTGAGAATAAGGAAAATTTCCATTGCAAAGAAAGCCCACGGTCAGAGCTGTGCTTGAAACTAGGGTGATTACAGAGTTATCTACTCCAAATACAAACAGGTTGAGGACCTGAAATTATTAATCAAAGTCGATATGAGAAAACAAAAATACTTGAAGAAATGCTGGAGGAACAAAAGCTGCTCGAAGCTGCTACTGCCAATAAGAGAGGAACACACTGTCCAAAATGTGTTCTCTAGCATCCCGCTTGGTGGATGATTTCAATCGGCCCGAAAGCCATTTCCAAATCGCCTACTGTCTCTCTCCTTGCAACAAGTTGTACTTATATAGTGTCTTCCACGCAGCCTAGCATTTCTAATTGCTTAATAGTAGCGGAGCCTGAGAACAAGCCGGTGGAGGGGCGGAGGAAGGAGCCTTAAGCGCAGTCGAAGAAGAAGGTTTTCAGGTGAGACTTGAAAAAGGGGAGAGAGGGGGCAAGGCAGAGGTATTGAGGGAAAGTGTTCCAGAGTTTTGGGGTGTTGTAGCTGAAACAACCTCCGATAGTGGAGCGGAGGGTGCGAGGGACGAGCAGGAGGCCAGTGCCAGTCGAGGGGAGACGACAGGTGGTGGATTGGGGGGTGACGAGGTTGGAGAGGTAGGGAGGTGCCAGAGAGTGAAGGGATTTGAACACGAGTGTGAGGATCTTGAAGTCGAGAACCCTCAAACAACAACAACAAAATTGCATTTATAGAGCGCCTTTCACGTAGGGAGGACATCCCAAAGCACTGAACAGTCAGGTGTCGGGGCCTGAGCATGGGGAAGGGGTGGGGTAGGAGTGAGGGAAGGCAGAGAGGTGGGAGGGAGACCAAAGGCACGGTCGAAGAGAAGGGTCTTGAGATCGGCCTTGAAGGACGCAAGGGAGGGAGTGAGGCGAAGGGACCGTAGGATAGAGTTCCAGAGTGTGGAAGTAGAGAGGCTGAAAGCTCAGCCACAATGGTAGGGCGGGTCGGGCGGGAGACATGGAGCAGACCGGAGCCCGACGAATGGAGGGAGCGGACAGGTTGGTAGGGTGTCAGAGAGGTAGGAGGGGGCAAGTGAGGAGAAACGCTTGCCTTTTCCTCAGCTCCAGAGGGATTTCCTGACAGACCCCAGCAAAGTGTCTCAATGCGCTACCTACCGTCTGTCAAGAAGTCTCTCCCCGAACTGAGGGAAAGGTAAGAGGGTCTCCCCACCCACCCCGTCCTCCTCACTGACGGCTTCTGCCGCTGCTAGACAGTGAGCAACCCTGAGTGAGGGGGAGACAGAGATGAGAAAGAAAGAGTGTCTGATAGAAAGAGAAAGAGACTGGGAGGGAGGGAGCAGAGAGAGAAAGCGGGAGAGAGCAGAGAGACAGTGAGAGAGCAGAGAGAGTGTGTGAGGGGGGAGAAAGAGAGAGTGTGTGTATGTGAGTGAGGAGTGAGAGAGAGGAGAGAGAGGGAGAGAACATGTGTGCGAGAGAGTGTGTGACTGGGAGAGAGTGACAGTGAGTGGGAGAGAGGGTGTGAGGGGGGGAGTGATAGAGAGTAATTGAGAGAAAGAGTGTGCGAGAGAGCGAGAGAGTGTGAGGGAGTGGGTGCGAGAGAGGGAGAGAGAGGGGATAGAGAGAGTGATTGAGAGAGAGTGAGAGAGAGTGAGAGAGAGAGAGAGAGAGAGAGCATGAGAGAGAGGGTTAGTGAGGGCAATTTTTTGTGGTTTACTGTCAGGACGGATGATTGGAGTCTCCCTCGGGTGCTGAGGGGGAACCGAGGAGAAACACAGAGTGCTGAGCCTGGCCTCACATTAAGCTCCCTTTTTCCCCAGTGAGAAACTCCTCTATGTCCTTCACTCCCCCCTCCCCATCCTACCTCTGCGACCTCCCGACCCAGCCATTCCCTTTGCTCAGCAAACTTCAATTTGTTTCATATCCCCGCCAACCCATTTGCCTCATTTTGCCCCCACTCTCTGGAGCTCCATTCTCAGAATGCCTCCCACTCACTCCCTCCTTCCCCTCTTTCCAGCCACATCAAGACCTAACTCTTTGACTGGACTTTTAGTGATATTTTCCCCTCCCCATCCCACCATTCGGTATGTTAATCTGCTCCCAAAATCCTGGGATTGTATTGAGACGTCTCAACGACGTGATAAGGCGCTATACCAAATGCAAGGATTAGTATCATTGATGTTTCTAGATGTGTTGAATCATTCCTGTTGGTCTTGTTTCAATTCCATTCATGGGTGTGCTGATTATATTACATTAAACTGATGGTGAATGATGTAATACTCCCTGTGAGTCATCAGAGCTGATGGCTCATACGAAGACCTTGCTTCCTCACCGTATGACCTGACACTGAACCAACATATTTGTAAGAGCTTAAAGAAAAACAGAGAGGGGTAGGAAATTCAGCAGGTCAGGCAACACCTGGATTCCAGCATCTGCAGTATTTTGTGTTTTGTTTGTATTTGTAAGAGCTTATTGTTTTAATTGCACAAAATGACAGCGATATAATCACAACCCTCTATGTAAAACAGAAATTTACCTTTAGATCTGGTGCAGCACTGCATCAAACTGAATTCATTTTATAGGGGTTAGAGCCAATGATTAAAGCTCTGTCCCGTTTTATTTTTTGATACACTGATGTCAAGGAGTTGTTATATTAAGTGAAGTTATTAGAATCTATTTGATGTTGCATTATGTTACATGTATTTTTATTGAAAAGGTGTTATTGAAAAGGTTTTTGGTTGTCACGTTACAATATAATTTATGTGGGTGGGGGAATGGGGAAGTTTACACTTACGTATAAATTGCCTTTCATGCATGGAGGACGTCCCAAAGATCTTGATAATTCTGACTGGGTACAGGAGCTGAGGGTGGGAGATAATAATAATAATAATAATACTCCTTGCATTTGATATAGCGCTTTTCACGTCGGGAGGACGTCCCAAAGCGCTTCACAGAACACACTGTAAAGTGAATTGACTGTATATTTGTGGGCGAACACGGCAGCCAATTGCGCACAGCAATGTCCCACAAACAGTCGTAGATTGAAAATGACCAATTTATTATTGTTTTTGGTTTTGGAGGGATTATTATTAGGCGTGTGGAGTAAGGAAACTTGCCCAAGGTTTCGCCCTGCCTGGAATTGAACTCAGGTCTCTCACTTGCAAAGCGAGTGCTCTAACCACTGAGCTACAGGACTCCACAATGAAGGGGATGAAGAGGGGAAAGATGACTGAAATCACGGATGAAGGGGATGAGGAGGGGAAAGATGACTGAAATCACAGATAACAAGGTATGTTTTGAGGTGTACCTTGAAAGAGAGAAGGAGGAAGGGAGCAAGTCAGAGGGACCTGGGAATGGAGCTCCAGAGACAGAAAGTGACAGAAAGTCCTCCTGCTGATGGTTGGGGCAAATAGAGTGGGGGCTATGGAGTAGGTCAGGGTTGTCTAACTGAAGGGAATGGCTGGGTTGGTAAAAGTGAAAGGTGAGGGATGCCAATGTTGTATTGTAGAATGATCGATTTGTAGCGCAAGTTTGGCAAGTTCCCTAACAAATGGAAAATAAACCCCTCAGTAGAATATCTGCTGTGTCTGCTATCAGTTTACCCCGGATAGCAAATGTGGTGGAACTTCAGATGCTCTTCTAAAGTAGGTTGCTCATGGATTTGAGTTTGCAAATTTCCTAGCTTGTTACTAAAGTCGCTTTACTATATTTGCAGAGATGTGCCCAGGAGGTATTGAAATATAGTGATGCCCTCTGCTGGCATATGCTGAGCTAGCTAATAATACTGCAGGAAAGAATGCATGTACTACATACAGTAACAGTCTCAGGCAGGATAGACCATCTGAGTCACCTGCTATCTAATATCCCAAGGATTCCTTCAATCCATCAATCTCAGTATCTGATAAACCTGACTGATTTTAATTTCCTGAAACTTGTTTTTTGAAACTTTTTATATCTTCTTGTTCAATAATATGTGCAACAAATTGTACCACATGCCTTTCATCCTTCTACAAAAATAATTGCACTCATATTTACTTTTGTTATGCTTGTTTTAAAGCGATGTGTTATTATTTTTAAATTTGCCTGCATCCAAATCTCCCAAATCTAATTTTAAACACTTCTTTCAGAACAATGGCATGGGATCTTTAATGTCCACCTGAACAGGCAGACAGGACCTCATCTTAAGGTCTCATCCGAAGAATTATAGAATGCCTCTAGGTATAATATTTGTAAAGAGAAACCTGTGGCTTCTCGAGAATAAGAATATTCTTATTCTAAAATTCTTATTCTTATTATGGAGTCCTGTAGCTCAGTGTTTAGAGCACTCGCTTTGCAAGCGAGACACCTGGGTTCAATTCCAGGCAGGGCGAAACCTTGGGCAAGTTTCCTTACTCCACACAGAGCCTAATAATAATCCCTCCAAAACAAAACAATAATAAATTGGTCATTTTCAATCCACGACTGCTTGTGGGACACTGCTGTGAGCAATTGGCTGCTGCGTTTCGCCCACAAATATACGGTCAATTCACTTTACAGCATATTCCGTGAAGCGCTTTGAGACGTCTAGAAGACATGAAAAGCGCTATATCAAATGCAAGGATTATTATTATAATAGGATGCAGTCCTACAAGGACATCTGATTTACAAGGTATCATGGCTGATGTTATGGATTTTCCAAATAACATCACTTAATGGTTCAGTGAGGTTTTTTCCAGTGAGCAACTGAATTATTCAGACTAGAAAGGAACTGAACCCACAGTGTCTGGATATTGGCACAAGTTTGAGTTCAGGTTCAGTTCACTGTGAAACACTTAGAGACGTCTCGATAACGCGATAAGGCACAACATTAAATGCAAGGATTAAATTAAATAATGTAACATGTTATTTCTGTAGTAGTTTGAAATACCCCAAAATTCATTCTTGTTGATTATTGGGTCTTTCATACAAAGGTGATAATTGTAAATATGTGTACAATATTCAATTTATTCTATTGACTTTTTACAAAATTATGTTTTTAGGGCTATCTATTGAATTGTCTCTCTATTTACTTTAGAAAATGAAGGTGCTCCTTGTGTTCTCTGGAATCCTCTTTGCAGTACAAGGTAGGCAGCTCATATGCATAAAATAATATTCTGGGATACAGTATATGAGTAATTTGAGACATGATGAGTGGAGTATCCTTGGAAGAACTAGGTAACTTTGGATATAAGGTTTCCAAAGCTTTCCAATGTGATGGTAGACTAATCCATACAGAATTAATTGCTATCAACATCTCCATTATTATAGCGACTACCAGGATGTAGAAGGTGGAATAAATGGAACTTGATCTCTCTTTGGCTAGCAATTGCTATGTTCCATGTTCCTATGCAGTATGTACACCAGAGTCAGGTTACTGGTGCAGTGTGATATTGCAAGTCTTATATTTGTGGCAATTATTGAAAGAAACCATTGATATATCAAAAAGTAAGCACAATCATAAATACAAGGTGATCATTTTTCAAACATACTTTAATTAACACAATCACTGCACTTTACAGTACATCCTGTGAAATACTTTGGGATGTCCTCCAGACATGAAAGGTGTTAGACCAAATGTAATAATAATAATAATAATAATAATCCTTGCATTTGATATAGCGCTTTTCACGTCGGGAGGACGTCCCAAAGCGCTTCACAGAACAAACTGTAAAGTGAATTGACTGTATATTTGTGGGCGAACGCGGCAGCCAATTGCGCACAGCAATGTCCCACAAACAGTCGTAGATTGAAAATGACCAATTTATTATTGTTTTTGGTTTTGGAGGGATTATTATTAGGCGTATGGAGTAAGGAAACTTGCCCAAGGTTTCGCCCTGTGCCTGGAATTGAACTCAGGTCTCTCGCTTGCAAAGCGAGTGCTCTAACCACTGAGCTACAGGACTCCACGTAAGATTATTATTATTATTATTACTTCAATACTATTATTGTAAAGGATAAGACATCCTCATCAACTTTGTACTGAACGTTAGAGAAGCTGGGTGCAAGTTATGAAAAATATTTTACTTTGTTAACTTTGTAACAGGGGTGTACAGACCTTCATAACCCATCACATCTAAACGTGAAAGCCTGTATCTAATTGTGTAAGTGTGAAGGTGTGTGATGATTAATTTAAAACAGCAAAGTAGAAGTTCAGTTTCAAGAAAACCTTATTGCGTCATGCAGGCAACAAAAAAATTGACAGGAACTGAACCCACAGCGGCTGGACATTGGCACAAGCTTTTTGTTCTGGTACTTACCGACCCCGGGGCCTAGGTTCAACCCCTCGTTCCATTCAAACTCCTTCTCCTGACCCTGAAACTTAATGATAATCCTTGCATATTATATAGCACCTCATCATGTCTTCGAGACACAGCAGAGCACATCACCAGATGTTACTGTGAAGTGTAGTGTCTGTATTTGTCGGCACACGTCATACATAACCAATTTGCATTCAGCAAGACCAACAAAATATACTTTTATTGTTCATTTTTTTCCCCAGTTTTCTGCCCTTTTTTCTGAAAACCCAGATTTGGTCTCTGCTCTAAGATGAGATAATGCACTTTTCTCTAAATCCTTGGGATTGTGAGGGGAATATCAGCCTGGTTCTGACCCTCGTTGATATGTTCCACCTTGAAAATGAGAATGCATGGCCAGCAAACAAGGACATAGGAACAGGTTAGATTCTGATACTTCACAAGGACCTACATTCACTCTTTAGCCTGATACATGAACAATGTCTACTTTTGTCAAGATATCAAAGGGAAATCGGTGTCATTGAAATTGAACCCTAATATGGGTCTATGTTCTATAGACCAATAGACTTAGAGACAATTGCAATACCTGAATTATTACATTGGAGTGCTGTAGCTCAGTGGTTAGAGCATTCGTCTCGCAAGCGAGAGAACCTGGGCTCGATTCCTGGGCAGGGTGAAATGTTGGGCAAGTTTTCTTAATTCACACGCCTCTGTTTACCCAGTAGTAAGTAGGAACCCAGTTGTTAGTCGTTTGACGGATCATTTTTCTGGGGTAATAACTCCTTCAACATATTTTTTTTAAAAATACTAATTTGGTCAACAACTGTTTGTGGGACACTGCTGTGTACAATTGGCTGCCGTGTTTTGCCCACAAAATATACAGTCAATTCACTTTGCAGTATATTCTGTGAAGCGTTTTGAGACATCTCAAAGACATGATAAGGCGCTATATCAAATACAAGGATTCTTATTATTACCTCAGCATAGAGCAGAGCCTTCAGGAAAAGTGCAGACACCTGAGAAAGAAAGAAAAGATGAACTACATTTTGATTTGACATGCTGCCAAATGTTAAATTTATACAAAATTGATTTTAATCTAATAATATTACATCATCTTTACATTTTTAGATCGAACTAAAAATGAATGGGTATTGACTTTATTTTAAGTTATATAACACAAGCCTCTTCTCCGGTCATTTTGATTCATTTTAGGCTAGGAGACTTTCATAAATGTAAGAAGTGTTATTTTTAAACGAGATTTGTTCATTGCCTTGATTTGTGCTCTTCATAGGCGACCCGCTGATAATCAAGCATTCCGAATGGACCAATGTTCCTTCTAATTGCACTGATACTCTAGATCCACCTTTATCATACATAGTGATTCACCACACTGCTGGCAACCGTTGCTTTAAAACAGAGGACTGCAAGCGGCAGCTCCGCAATATCCAGAATTATCACATGAAGTTTCGCCAATGGTGTGACATTGGCTATAGGTAAGTCTCGGGGAAAGCAATTCTGTTTCAACTATGGATGAACATTGTAAAATGTTTAAATGTTTTTCTTCATGGTATATGCTGTATCGGTTGGGACCGTACATTTAATATGGCTTATGCAAAGTGTGTGTTATGTCAAACTTGCATAGAATACAATTCTTGAACAGGGCTTGGGAAGATGTACTGCCTGGGAGATTATACGATTTATACAGATCAGACTTATGAAAATTTTAATGTACTAATTTTCTGTTGCGCTGAAATTAATGAAAGCAATCACAATGCTTAAGAATATCCAAGCCAGAGTGAGAGTTCCAGCATACCATCTACATATGGAAATTCCCGTGTCTGAACTGGAATAAATACTCTCTCATTCAATGGCTTACCTAATTTTGGAGAGTATTAGGCCTTGTTGGCAAGACCTTGGGGATGTCAGAATGTGTGTTGTAGTACTGCTGGAGCCTAACCAACTAAAATAGCATTGGTTGCCATGATATCACTGACTAGCAAGCTTTCCTGCTGCTTGTCCAGTTAGGTCCATCCTACCTATGAGGACTTTGACTTGTAGGGTTAACTGAGCTGAGTGGGAAGAATCCCTGGCCCAGCATTTTCTTAAGAAATTCCATGCCTTAAGTCTGTCTGCCCAGGTCTTACTGATACCTCTGAGCCACATTGACTGGTCTGTCATCAGCAGGGCTGCAGAACTGCAATCCTGACTGGCTCAGGACCAGATTACTGCAACGGCTACAGAGGGTTGTCTCAATTCTGACATTCCATTGCCAAGCATGTCACTTTCACGCAAGGGGGTCTGTTACTCCAGCCCAAGGAAGATGATCACTTTGAACGAATAAACAAACAAACGAAGGAAAGAATGAACAAACAAACAAAATTACTCTCCATGCGCACTTCTTAATCAGATTTCGTAAGAAACCTGAATGGAAACTCGTTCCTATGATCACACAAATATTTATTTTGTATGCTTTCATTACATCGAGACTGGACTATGCAAACTCATTGCTTGTTGGCCTCCTCAACTCCTCCCTCCATAGGCTGCAGATCATCCAGAACTCTGCAGCCCGTGTCCTCTCCCGCACCAGGCTCCGTGACCCCATCACCCCCATCCTTGCCCAAATCCACTGGCTTCCCATCACACAGAGGATACAGTTCAAGATCCTGGTTCTCACCTTCAAAGCCCTCCACAGTCTTGCTCCTCCCTCCCTCTGCGACCTCCTAACCCCTATCTTCCCGTTTGTTCCCTCCGCTCAGCGAACTCCAGCCTGCTTTGCGTCCCCACCTCACTCGACCCACTATTGGCGGGTGGGCCTTCTGCCACTCTGCCCCCACTTCCGGAACTCCATCCTGCAGTCCCTCCGCCTCGCCCCCTCCCTCGCCACCTTCAAGATCTCTCTCAAGACCCTACTGTTCAACTGTACTTTTGATCTCCCCGTTTTCCCCCCCTGCCCTCCACCCTCCCCAACCCTGACCCCCAGCTCGGGTCCATAACTCTGTCTGTCTAGCACCTTGGGACGTCCTCCCGATGTGAAAGGCGCTTTACAAATGTAATTTTGTTGTTGTTGTTGATTAATGAGGATCTGTGCAGATGTTTCCCTCAGGGGATAAAGTAGATGGAATGAAGGCAATAATAGTTTGATGGTCTGTGAAAGCAGTGGGTTCAATGGGTGGAATGACCTTTCCCATTTCTCTTTCCCTATTTTGTAAAGGTGCAAAGATAGTGAAGATAGTCAGCATTGAACTCATTATTGTCCTCCTCTTTCTCTTTTATTCAGTTTCCTTATTGGTGAAGATGGGAACATTTACGAAGGTCGTGGATGGGACAAAATGGGAGCCCACACTTTTCACTACAACCATATTAGCTATGGAATAGCGTTCATGGGGAACTTTATGAGTGAGTAAATTCTCTTTGCATATTATCATACAGTTTGTACCATAATGTAAGGGCTGGGACTTTGAGATTAGCAAGGCAGAAATCTAGGCTCTAGAGAGGATGGCTAAACTTTATCCTTGTGTATAGAAGTGGTTGGAGATTGTGAAGCAATGATGGTCATTTTGAGGGAATCACTGAACACTGTGAAGATTTCAACATTTGCTGTACTGAGCTCCATGAGCCCATCATCCCATCCTTGCTATTGTTTTCATCAAGATAGTATCTTGTCCACAAAATTCAGTTACTACACCTTACAATATATTCTGTGAAGCGCTTTGAAACGTCTCAATAATGCGTTGAGGTGCTAATATCAAATACAAGGACAAGGAATTATATCAAATGTAGGTAATAATGTGCTACAGCAGAACCAAGGATTATATTATATGATCCACTAGTTCCTTTTTCCAATTGACTTTAAGATCCTCTTTCTGACCTTCAAATGCCTCTGCTCACTACCATCTTTGTGATTTTGTGTGGTTTGACTACCTCACCTCCGCTCTGTTAACAATATTCTGTACCACATTCCCCATCTACTGCACTCTACCACTGATGACCAAGATTTCTGCTTCTTTATCCCCGCTCCCTGGAACTCTCTCTCTAAATCTTTCTGTTTATACCCTTCCTCTCTCCTTTCAATACCATTCTAAATAAACTATCTCTTAGACTGAGGTTTCGAACACTTCTCTATTGTCGTACCAGGGGTTCCACTTCTGTCCCTAGGAAACCATTTGAGACACTTCCCTATCTGAGAGGTGTTGTTTTGCTGTTGCATTTTCAATTAATTTAAGCCACGGCAGCAGGCCACATTCTGAGTTGTGAATCGTAATTTTAGGGCAGACTCCAGGAAATATTTCTTTACACAGAGGGTAATCAACCATTCGAACAGGTTATTAGAATGGGTGGTTGAGAACGGGATCCTTTCAAGAATACATGTATAAAAACATGTACTGGAAGTACAGTAGTGGCAGGCAGGCTTTCTGCAACTCTGCTCCCACCCTCTGGAAATCCAGTCCCTGCCCCTCGCCCCCTCCCTTGCCTCCTTCAAGAACCATCTCAAGATCCTCCTCTTCGATCGTGCCTTCGGTCACCCTCCTTCCCCCCCCGCCATCCACCTTCCCCGACCCCCAACTCAGGTCTGAAACATTGATTATCCAGTGCCTTGGGACATGAAAGGTGCTATACAATCTCATTTTGTTTTTGTTTGTTGTAGTGAATGTCCTGAATATCTGAACTTCTCATGAAATTAAAAGTCAGTATAGTTCTACCCATTTATCTTGAACGCGTTTATATCGACATCCCGCTCATGTCAACAAAAATTTGAAGTCCGGGTCCTTTCCCTACATAGGAAAACACTGAACTTACCAGGTTTGTCGACATCAACATAAATTTCAGCACGCTTATGATGACAAATTTTTCAAATCCCTAACAGTACTAAATGCATTGTATTATTACCACTTAGCTCCTATTTTTAAGAAAGGTAACAAAACTTGCAGTGAGGGTAAGTCTGCCGACATGTCTCACTTTGAGAAGTAGAAGATCTGTCTTCCAGAAATTTCATGGGATTACAATTTGGAGGAGCCCGCCTTATGTTTTAACTGCACACCAGACAAAAGTTGCCACATAAAGTGACAAACTTGTACTGGAGATCTTGTAAGATAACCTAAAGACCTTGTTTGAATTATGGTCAACGCCAACATGACTACATCTAAAGCTTCTTGTAGACACAATGCATGCGTCTACATTATTTTTCAATTTATGTCGATGTCCTACAGATGTCAAGCGGTCCCCGACATGTTGATCTAAGTGGGGAAGGCTGTATATCATTCAGTTTGCTAATAACTTGTCTCTGTTTGGTTGCAGATACTTCCCCAAACAACCTTGCACTGAATGCTAGCAAGAGTCTGATAGCCTACGCTGTTTCCAGAAAAAATCTAACCCCCCGCTACACCCTGAAGGGCCACAGGCAGTTTTTGAAAACTGCTTGTCCTGGAGACACTCTTTACAAAATAATAAAGACATGGCCTGGGTGGAAGGCCACTTGATAAGACTAACACGGCCATATCTCGATGCTTTGATTATGCTAATTTCTGTACCTATTAAAGATCAATGTTAGATCCAGCAGTTTACAAATGTACAAGGAACTCATTAAGCAAGGCATCCTCATTCATGCAAGCTACTTATGAATGTAATAATATCAGCATCATGTAAGCATTGTTCAGCAACATTGTACAAAAGGCAATTCAAATATGGCCACAATAAAATATAATGGGGAAAAAGTTCCAATGTGTGATATAATTAATTCATTGGTGATAATGTTTAGCATGTGACTATAACGACACCTGCTGGACAAGAACAGAAATGCTTTGCTATAGAATTGCATTTCAGCTGCAGGTAAAGACCATATGCAAGTATCTGTTTTTCAGGTTATTAAAGAGCACCACCTCTTCTCAACAGTCTTTCAGCTGGATTCCTTCAATAGATTTTCACTTCCCCTAGCAATCTGTGGAATAAATTACAAAAAACATTTGCGGGGAGAAAGAGAAATCCTGGCAAATTGAATTAAATCAAATATTCAAGAAAACTGAGCAAAAAATTCACAATGGTTAAAATGGGTGACGTCTCCTTATCTCTGCTTTGATTGCAGTGTTCAGGATTATGAAGGGATTTCTTCCTCAATCCATCCATCTTGTCCCCCCTCTCCCCTTTTTCAAGTCCCACATGAAAACCTTCCTCTTCGACCGTGCTTCCGACCACCTACCACAGATTTGAGGTCTAAAGGGCACTGTTAGCGTTGAACAAGACTCCAAGGTTCTACACTGGTTTGGTGAGGTGTAGAGTTGCTCAATGAATAGTGAGGCTGTCAGTGCCTGAGGTGAGCAGGAGGGCCTCCATCTTGTCGACATTCAATTGGAGAAAGTTAGCTCTCATCCAGAACAACGTCTGGCAAGCAATCCATCAGGACAGCAGTGATTCTGGAGTCGAGGGTGGAGGCAAACAGATAAGAGTTGGGTGTCATCTGCATATATGTGGAAGTTGATCCTATGCCTGCAGATGTAAAGATTTAAGAGAGGATCCTGAGGAATACCATATACGAGGGCTGGACGAGATGCCATAACCGGATACAAAATGGAAACAGTGGGAAAGGTAAAAGTGAAACCAGACAAGGTAGAACCACGAAGGTGGAGCTGAGAGGAAAGGTGGTGCAGAAAAATAGCGTGGTCAACAACAACAACAAGATTCCATTTATAGAGCGCCTTTCACGTCGGGAGGACGTCCCAAGGTGCTGTACAGTTGGGTCAGGACCCGAGCAGGGGGGAAATGGTCAGGGTGAGGGGAGGGAAGGGAGGGAGCGAGGAGGGGGGAAATGGTCAGGGTGAGGGGAGGGAAGGGAGGGAGCGAGGAGGGGGTAGAGAGTCGAGAGGGGAGCTGAAGGCACGGTCAAAGAGAAAGGTCTTGAGACCGGCCTTGAAGGAGGAAAGGGAGGAGGCGGCGAAGGCACTGGGGGATGGAGCAGACCGGAGCCAGAGGAATGGAGGGTACGGGCAGGTAAGTAGGGGGATAGTAGGTCGGAGAGGTAGGAGGGAGCGAGGCCGAGAATGGCCTTGTAGGTGAGGATGAGGATCTTGAATTCGATCCTCTGGGGGATGGGGAGCCAGTGGAGGCGAGCGAGGGTGGGAGTGATGTGGTCCCGAAGCCTGGTGCGGGACAGTACACGAGCTGCAGAGTTCTGAATGACCTGCAGCTTGTGGAGGGAGGTGCCGGGAAGGCCGGCGAGGAGAGAGTTCCCATAGTCCAGCCTTGAGGTGACAAAGGCGTGGACCAGAGTTTCAGCAGCGTGAGGGGTGAGGTAGTGCCGTAGTCTGGCGATATTCCGGAGGTGGTGGAAGGCGGTGCCAGTTGTGGAGCGGATATGAGGGAGAAAGGACAGCTCAGGGTCGAACAGAACCCCGAGATTCCTGACGGCTTTGAGAGGTTGAGAGTGCAGCCTTGGATGCTGATGCTGTCAGTGTTGAACAGTGTTGAAGGCGGCAGAGAGATCAAGATCAAGAGCTAAGACACAGAGCCCTGGTCACAGATGGACAGATTGTCATTTATATGTTTGACTAAGGCTGTCTCTGTCCTGTGGGCAGCACAGAAACACAATTGGAGGGGTTCAAACAGGCAGTAGCAGGAAAGAGCAAAGCTAGGTAGCAATGCCTCATAGCAGAAACTTGGAAGGAAAAGATTGGAGATGGGATGGCAGTTACAGAACAGAGATGGAAGTTTTTTTGAGGGTGGGGTAATGATGTTTTTAAGGGGCTGCAATAATACCAGTGGATAGAAAGAGGTTGATGATGTCTGTTAGTAGGGGGGAAAGGAGATGGAGCTAGGTGGTAAGAGGGTTAAGAATGGAGTCAAGGAATCGGGTGGTGGGCTTCAATTGGGAGAATATGAGGTGAGAGAAAGGAGGGGGAGACGGGATCAAAAGTGTGGAAGGAGGGATTGGTGGAGGCCGGAGCGGGAGGTGGAGATGGTAACGAGGGCAGAGGTAGCAGAGGGGATACCCTGTAAACTCATCGGCAGGTACTAAAAGAACAAACCAGTCACTGAGAGCAGCGAGTCATCCCACTCAGCTGCTGTTAACCCTGAAACTAAAGTCCTAACGGATAGGGTGATCCTAGCTGGACAAGCAGGGGGGAAATCTTGCCGGACAGCAATATGGATTATCCTATGCAGTTTTAGCTGGTTAGATTCCTGCGGTACCCCAACGCAGTCTGGGGTCCTAAAGCCTCGACTCTTGCCAACCTGTGCCTAATACTTCCCGGAATTAGGTGAGCATCCCTCCAGGGAGAGTGTGCGTACCATTCCATTCCAACAATCTATCTCTGAAATTTCCAAGTGTGGGTGAGATGCATGGAAATCTCAGCTTGGTTTGGATACTCTTAAGCATGGTGATGGGTTTCCATGTATGTGATACCCCAAGGTGATCCAAAAAAATTCCTCAATTTGGACTCAAGGATGTCCATTATCACCTCACATTTGGAGTTGGAGGAGAGGATAGGCAAGGTGCGTGAAAGTGGGCAGAGGTGTAGTTTTTTGTAGTGAAGAGGAACCTGGGGTTATCTTTGGCCTTCAGGATGATCTTGGAGCAGGACAATTTAGTTGAGGCAAAGGCAGAGCAGTAGGTTTTGAAGCGGTCCAGGTATACAGCTAGATTGGATTGAATTTGTGCTAGATGCATTCAGTGGCATCTACCTGTAGCTTGAGGGTTTGTGGCTGGTGTACCGGGGGACTTGTGAGAGTAGGAGACAGTATTCACATTAAATACCATGAAGCACTTTGAGATGACCTCTTGACATGAAGCTGCTTTATCAAAGGTAAGGATTAATTAAATGCATGGATTATTAACTGGTTATCGTTTTCCTTTTGATGAGTTTGTGCTTTGGAAAATGTACAGGAACAATTCTAAACCAACTGTCTAAAATCTTGCTTTGTTTAAATGTAAATGTACATTCAGTTTCATATACAAAACAAAGCGGAAACTGGTTTCAAAAATGTCAAGAACTGTTTATTTTTTAAACAAGAGGTAATTCTTGCAATTTTTTTTAAAACAAGTCCGTGAACACATTTACAAAAAAAGTTACATGGCAGAGCAAAAAATTAAATATTCAAAGCTAGACTTGAAGACAACCATTTATTTACGTGTCTACTCCAAGCAATTGGCACAAAAAGTTGACGTACATTCAACAACCAAAAGTGTAACCACCTCAAAAATGAAGTAATTTAAATTAGGCACTATTTTAATATATAAAAGTAACAATTCCACACTTCCCATAGTGTATCAGGTTTATTTTGCCCATAATGATTGAGTTTAATGTTTAATTATGTCAAATTGTTGATTATCTGACAGTTTCACAAAATCACAGCGGGGAGACGATTTTAATTTTACTGATCATTTTATTCTTAAAGTGAGGCTTTTTTTTTGTTGAATCACAGTACTGCAATGCATAAGTGCCTTTACAAAGTGTGTGTACACATGTTAAAATAGGTTTTCAGAAAACAAAATCTAATGGTGTAATCATGAAATAAGACAAAAATGTTACTGTTGCGTATTTTAAGTAAGATTATCCAAGGTTTTCACATGATGGTGGTGGGTGGGTGGGGGTGAGAGAAAGAGGCCTAATTCAAATATATTCAATCCCAAATCCAAGTATCATTTGAAATTTTTCTTGTATTTCATTTTTTGCACTTCCACAGTAAGTCTCTGAAGACAAAGCTCTCTGAGTGTACAATACCCTATGTAAAGGACTAAACCCAACTTTTTTTTAAAAAAATGGCTGTTTAGTTTACAGCATACATCTCCCAATATTGCGATACAAAGCCAAATTTTTTATTAGAAATTACATCACTCATTATGAAGACTACTCTTTTAGATATGAAAAGGTAACACTTGAAAAGTATAACAAACCTGCTGTTTAGGCCAATATTCAGTCAGAGCGCAAGAACTGCAGCAATCACCATTACATGTGCATATTTAAATATAATGTTTGGTAGTAAATAAATACTCGCAGTACTGTCTTCATTTTTATTAGAACTTTTTTCACAACCCATTAAACTAAGGGCCGAGGGATTCAGTGTTTCAAATTTATCATTTTTGATCAGTAACAGGAGAGTGGTACTTCTGGTGTAAAGTTTGAATACATAGCTGGTTGTTACATTTGAACACTATTATGGGAATTTTTTTAAAATTTGCGAGGAATATTTTCTGTAAAATCAAAGTTTTTCAAAAATAAAGCCAAGAAATGTGGCCTCATTCCTGCCTCCTCCCCTACCACCGACTAGCTGCATGAACCTCTATCTTGTGGTCACATTCACAAAGTGACAAACTTTGAACATACAAGTCCCTGCAGTAGTATGTAAATACACTTAATTGTAAACTTTCATTCAAATGACTATAAATGAACTGTAGTGACATTCTTGAACAATAATCATTGAATAACACCCACCAGGCTGTAGCATTTGTCAAACAGCTCTAGGCAAGTGCATTTGTATAAGAGGATATGAGTGCATAGTCTTAAGAGACCTATGTCCTATTTTATGTTGTAAGCACTGTGGTGTGATCAGATTATAACTTTAACTGGACTAAGTCCTCACTGACTATCTATTAAAGAAATACAATATAAAAGCTAAATCTCCTATTTGAGGTGCATGCAGAAATCTTGGCTGTAGATTAAAGCCACTCTTTCCTGAGCCAGTGTTGTACGGTATGGAGCTACTGAATAAAACTTGCTTAACACTAAGCCCTTTGGCATTAAAAAAAGAGAAAAATGTTCAAACTCGCATAAACTGATACCAGAAATATTTTCCCCAACAAACCTTTTACTTCAATGAATTTTCCTCCCTTGGTATGGGCAAATGGTTAAACAAAGTGTTTAATTTACAAAAAGACTTCCAATATATTCAATTTTCCAACTTAAAGCCACTTCCCTACAGCATTTTGAATGCACGGAGCACCATTCAGGTTACAACATACATTTCGCAAACAACGTGTCAAAAATGTTCAATGTGTATCACAGGACACAATCCCAGTGCTCACCAGAAATTCATTCATTTCATTAAAATACATTCGAAAAACAACATACTGCTGCAAATTGACATTGTGTGTAAAACTGCAATAAATTAGTGAAATCTGGTACTAATGTCATTACTAGGATAATAGGTTACTACCATTGATACCATGATGAAAAATTGACTTTAATTTAAAAAAAATACCAATTTGCTTTTCACTTTAGAAAAGTTGCGCACAAACAAAATACACGGTTGTATGTAATCTGCTTTACACATTGCTCATGAAAGCATTCCTGCCAAAAACAATTGAGGGCTTCTGTTTTTCTACTGTACATTGTCAGGTTACATTTGGATTGTAGATTACGATGCCTTTACATTTTCCCCTTTACAACTGGAATTGTGCCTTGTCCTACTTCAGGAGTACAAAATTTATCAACACGACAATAATTGATTGTACAAAACAGGCTTCCATAAGTAATCTCACAGTTTGAGTTGTCAATTCCCAAAGTCTGCTACAACATCAGTTATCCATTCTCTCACCATTGTCTGTTTCCCCCTCTTTGGCATTTTTTGGGGTTATGTCTAGGTTTCTGTCTTTTTGTACTAAATGACTTAAATTGCTTATTACCATAAAACAATGCACTTGGATATGGAAAAACTGATTGTACAAGTATGAAAAATCTGATGTGTAATGTCAATAAAGTGCTTCTCCACGATCTCTGCCAATTTGTGCTGATTTATGACAGAGAAATGGAATTTGTCAAATCCTGCTAATTTTTTTCCAAACAGTCAAAGTAAGTTCTTTAGCTTGGGGAACAGTAGCGCCGCAAATCTCAGATGGTTGGTTCACTGTAATCAGTTTAGTAGCAGCCATCTTTCCAGCTTTCGTCTCTAATGCTGCTGTAAGTCTTCGGAGCTGGCAATGATCTGAGAACCAATTGAACAGGAAAAGGTTTACACTTCACTTTTGGTTGCTATTTGACAGGATGGCCAATTTCTTCTGCATTTCAATTTTACTATGAACCATTATAAAGTGAAAATGCATAAAACAAAGTGTACAGTGCTTTAGAATGGCAAAGAATGTTATTGAGTTAAAACAAACCACATTTGAGTTGCAATACAATAAATGAGCAGTGTTCCATGGGTATCTTGCCCATGCAGCCCTTCTTCAATAATACTATAATAGAACTCACATAAGTCATAGCAGTCAACACTTCAACAGTTAATATAAGTTTCGTGAAGTAAGAGTTTCATTTCAACAACAAAGATAAGTCTATCACAGAGCCCTCTCTGACAAAAAAGTCCTGGCTTCCTTCGTTTGGAAAATGGAATGAAACTGATTTAACCGTTTGTAACACTAACAAGCCTGTAAATTGTCCTGCACACATTTTGTGATAAACAGAGAAACACTGCAAATACCTTTCCATCCTGAGAGCCAGGTTTCAATTCAGATCAGACAAATGGGATAAAATACATCCTGTATTTGTCAACTATACAATCTATTATGAAAAGAATATATTTGAGCAGTCGCAATCCTGTATCTAATGGATATGATTCACATTAGAAAAACGTTGTGTATGTTGGCAATCTTACTCATAGGGTTGGCTGGTGTGAGAAGTGGAACCATTCATGCTGATGCATGAGTGGATGCAGTACGGCTTCCCTTCTGAAAAACTTAAAGGACTTATTGTGGAATATCAGTGCAAAATACACAACTAATCCACTTTACAATTTTCATTCTTTGAGACATCGCAATGACTTGATAAGGAAATATATTAAACCCAAGGATTATTATTATTAAACTTTGCACTGGACCTAGCTGTAAATATGCCGACTTAACTGTGCTCAAGGCTTACACTAACAAGTGGAGAAAAGGTATTCTATTTCCATGCAATGTCATCCTTCACTTAAAGAGCAAACTTCACCCTTCCCTCGATTTATCCTAAACATATGGGCAGGTTGCAGTTTCTATTTGTAACCCTGTTAAAAAATTTATTTATTTAAAAAAAACTAATAGATAATGAATAGAGACTAAAAAAGCATTGTATTGTGTCTAAACGTTCCCTCTCATTCCCTTTTGCAGTTGACTAGCATTCTATTCGTTCTCCCCTATTCGGCAGACTGGTAAGATGGGTTTCCTGAAGACCAGGTCTTTGTTGCTATATCCTCTTACCTTCTAACAGGCTGTGCAAGCTTACTCCGAGGCACTGGTATTCCCCCAGTAGAAGAGGCACTAGGTCTTGGCAAGCCACTTCGCACTGCTGTACCTTTACTAGGGCTAGCGATACCTGATGCCGTATGACTTGGAGAACCGGCAGACTGAACAGAAGCAGGTCCAGGAACAGAACTGGTAGAGACCGGCCCTGGGTTTACCACAGCTTTTAGAGGTTGTCGGAGAGCTAGTGGAGATGGCCCTGTAGGCAGTCTGAGTTTACTTGGAGAAGGTACTGCAAAAGAAAGAAAAAGTTTCAAATTTTTCATTTCAGATTACTTTACACACTTTGTACCAAGACCTTGAATATTAGCATTCCTGTAATACTATTCAAGAAAGCACATCTTCAGAATGATAACCTAAGCAGCAGACATACACAAATATACAATGTAAGTATATTACGCATTCCATCATTGCAGCATATACTTAAAGTTGCTTCATTCCTATTCTGCAGAAATAGCTATTTTGAGAAACGTATTGGAAAACATGCACGTTTGTTTCAATAAACGGAGTACATTTTCTGAAATAAATATCTTAAAAGTATGAAATAAAATTACCCAATGTACTAGCATTACATATTGCAAACGTTAAAAAAAAAACACACGTGCTGTAGGAAATTAATTCCATTGGTCTAAGGTGCAGAGAATAATATTCCTTTGAAGCAACATGGAAAAGTACTGCTACATTAAAAACATTCCACTGGGAGCTGTTTAAACAATAAAAGGTATTATTATGCTAAGTGATGATTTTCCATTATTCCCACTGATGAGAACAGAATGCTATATCAGAAGTGAGTGGAGACTCACATAGAGTATAAACACCACAGACTGGTTGAGCCGAATGGCTTGTTTCCGTGCTGTACGTTCTTTGTAAATCTTTGTAACAGGGAGTATAGAGTTTAGCTTTCTGAGCAGCAATTGTTGAGTCAAAAATGTCAGTCTACAATTGATACTTTCTAGCTTGACAAGTTTTACTGAATATGTGAAACTATCAAGATAATTCCTGTAACTAAGGTAAATCTTTCTCTCCTAAAATAATCCATGGAAAACCCACATTATATCCCCTCATAGAATAAGGATAAGAAACATGTACTCCAATCTGTATTTGTATTTTTTCCCCCCCCATTCCTGGAGAATCTTGCCTCACTTGCCAAAGTGGATCGTCTCACTCACTGAAATCTCTGCCAAGTTGTAATTTGGTACTGCTGGATACAAAAGAAATATGGAACTTGTTTTATCAACTTACTGTTTTAGAATATGTAATTTTGTAAAAACAAACTTTTACAAAACTGGTTTTGTACAAAAACATTGGCCCATAAAGTCACCATCACCAAAAGTTTGTAAAGGACTATCTTAAAAAAATAAGTACAACACTCAAGGCTCAAGACTATGCTACTTATTTCTACTCTAACAAGCCAAGTTACCCCAGAATGCTCTGCATTTTTAAATTGTTCATCTAAGAAACACTTACAGAAGGAATTCAGGGGTTTGAAGTGAAACTGAAGAACTCAAGCAGATCAACTGCACTATTGCTCATCCATCTCTACCATATGAAGACAGCAAATTTTCCTCAGCTACACAGGTTTGTGCGTAGATAATCAATGCTGTGATACAGAGTAGCCTGGAAAGCTTCGTGAAATCCTGAAGAAAGCCCGACTGTACTGTATGGTCTGGAACTTAATTGTTCTACAAGCCCATAGCCACGTCGTGACAGAATATTGTAACACTGATTGACAGGTTGCAAAGTAAACCCCTTTCAATCTTATAAGAATAGAATACCAAATGATTCAGACCAGGAAATACAACAAGAATGGCTAACTTCAGTCTTCCATTCCCTTTGTGTTGAATACCCAATTATTCATTAACTGAGCACCATGAGAGTTGCAGCCCAGAGGCAACTCTATTCTTCACAAAAAGATAAAATGTACCATAGAGAGAGTCATCTTTTTGGAGAGAATGAGGTCCAGAATAAATGAGGTTCGCTGAGTTAAAGAAATATTCATGATCAAGGAAAAGGGTGGGAATGCCATTTCTTTAAGGTGATAGCAGGAATAATGGGCAAGGGACATCCAAAAGGGTGGTATCTAGGTGGTTGATATTGATAAAAATGGATAATAATTCAGTGATGCCAAGTTAAGTGGCCACAAATCAACCAACAAATAAATTTTGACTTTGGTTAATTGAACTATTACTTAGAAACTGTGTCAGCTTGGCTCAGTTAGGAGCACTCTCGGCTTTAAGTCAGAAGCTTATGGGTTTAATCATCCGTCGGGACAAACTCATGATGTCTAAGATGAAACTCCAATGTAATAATGGAGATTATTCACTCCAGCACTATTGTGGCATATTGCTTTGCTCAAATTGGCTGCCGAGTTTGTGTACAACTATACTGTCTTTGGGAAATTCAACATTAGACTATATGAAATAGGATTATTGTAGATCTACTGGATTTTTACTGATGAGAGATTAATACATACGAACAAATTATGTACTACCACCTTACTGACTAGTATATGCTTGATGCATAAAGGACTGTCATTTCTAGGAATGATTTCCAAAATAAAAATACCAGTCATCTTGAAGACAGCTTATTGGATTTCACTCGTATCCATATTTAGGAGTGCAATCAATTGTAGATTACCTCTTTGGGCAGCTCGGTTATGAATATAGAGTTTGGTATTCTGAAATGTGTTGCAAGAATATGGTTGCTTTTTCTGAGCTGTAGACAAAACAACATATTTTTATAAACCGTTTAATTTTTGTGAATTAAGGAAAAGATAGATGGGCCATGCAAAAGGAACTGTGTAGAACCCCAAGTGCTGAAACAATTACAAATCACATTAAGCTCTCATTACAACTTCAAGCGTGTATGTACCAAAGTAAACACACACAAAATTTCGTCAAGGAAAAAAAAGACCGATATGCAAATATGAATGTGAGGTGAAAAGAATACTGAAATCTGTGTTTGCTATTATTGCTGAGTTAATGTGAAAACAGGTTTATGGGATCAGTACATTTTAATCAATACTAGGATTTTCATTCCTTGAGAATTCAGCCAACCCTTCTTGGTCAAATTTACCAATTATTTAGGGTAGCCTGATTCAATAGGTTTAATATAATTCCACTTACATTTTACTTTTTAATGGAACACAATCTGAACACCCAGATGGACTGTACATACTGGTAAATAATTCAAATCTTGATGTAATTAATATTTAAAAAAGGAAAGCTGGGGGGGTGGAGATTCCAAATGTTCAAAGTATTCCCCATCGTTCCTTTCAAAAAGCAGTTACTTTGCCTTCATGGAGATCAAATTTTGCATCTCTACTTCCTTCTACAGCTAAAAAAGTCTACACTTAACTGATACTTCTCAAAAAAAATTTGAAATAATTTATAATGTACTATTAGTTTACAACTTGAAATTTTATCTGACCATTTTCCACACTTCGCTACAAGAATGTCTCACAGCAAGGAGACTGATCAAAATCTATATTAAATATTTAAGGATATAAGATTCCACAAAGTCTGCTAAATTATCAATATAGTATATGTATATATATAAAAACATTGTTGAAAGCGACGATTATAAGATAATCATGAATAATTTTCAAAGATGTGCGTTTTTATTGGAAGATGGGTCATGAAATATCATGAAAGTGCCAATCGGACAGTGAATGTAGGAAGTACAAGGACAACTACAATAGAATATTAAAGTACAAGGGAACGGTCAGAAAAAATCGTAGATGCACACTTTTCAAAAAAAATCACAATATAAACCCAAAAATAATTGTGCCAAATCAAAAAAAAAATTGAGCAGTTTCATTTGTGAATGNAAAAACAGCAAAGAGGAATTCAATTAAAGATTGAGCCAGATGAAAGAGGAACATGTTTTCTTGGGAAGTGAAAGGTTTGAAGTCCTTTATGGATTTTAACAACTAAATTATGATGCTTTTGTTATTGTGAATGGTGAGAAGGTTTACCTTTGGAATCAGTGGGTGTTTTATGAGGCTATATTAAAAGCTAATGGCCCACATTATAATGAAGGATTACTGTAATGGCAACATTTAGTTTACTTAAGAGCCCTCAGCCACTGTAAGCTCCATAGCTAAACGCCAAAGCAAAAGAGCCCAGCAACAAAAACTCAGCTGCAGTAAACAAGCCACCACAAACCATCACCATATATCAAAGAACATCAAATCAACGATAATTACTTAGCTCAGCCATGGCTTCATCAAATTGGAACTGTGATTTATAGAAATCACGACCTTGCCAAAGGGTAGTCATGGAAACATCTAACACTATCATATTTGCTGACTTATTCCATGAAACCACTGGGTCATTTTCTTGAGACAATTGAACCTCAAGCAACTGTATATCAAGATGAAGGCTGCAGTTGGTGACAACAACATAAATCTTTAAACATCTATAGGCGAAATAAACCTTCCATGTTAAGGGCATGGAGTGTATTTAACAGTTTTTATCATGCGAGATGAAATAAAACAATTACTCTCCTTTAAAGACTCAAACGGAAAGAATGGCTGAGGTCTCGGGAAGGGTCACCACATTTTTGTGTGTTCAACAGTCCCCAGATTAGTCTGCCCTGCCAACCCTTATCGGAGTGGTAAACTGGAACGATTAGATAAATGGGTCAAAGGGCTTTCTTACGTAAACATATTTTGCAATAATTTTAAATTAGAGCCTTTCTGGTATTCTCCCTCCACTCCTAAAGGTGTCAATTTGGGAGTACGGTTCTACAGGCTCCAGAACCTCTCCACAATATTTTACATAGGTGACCGTTATTATGCCAGCCTGAACAGTAAAAGTCAGTTGAAGCCATTTCTTTCAAAGTCCGAGATGCTAAGGACCATTCTACAACAACTTGTATTCATAAAAATCACTTCAGGTAGGGTAATGGCAAGGCTAGAAATACAAACTGAGACTCTCTGGGTCGATAAGGCTCAGTTTCTTAGGAGATGAGCTGTTGGGACAAGGTAAATTAACGTTCTTACAAGCGTAATTCAATTGAATTTTGTTAAATCCTATACCTGGTGTAAATCCAGGCTTGACTATGCAAACTCCCTGCTTGTCGGCCTCCCCAACTCCTCCCTCCATAGACTGCAGAGCACCCAGAACTCTGCAGCCCGTATCCTCTCCTGCACCAGGCTCTGTAACCCTATCACCCCCTTCCTCGCCCGCCTCCCTGGCTTCCCATCACACAGAGTACAGTTCAAGATCCTGGTCTCACCTTCAAAGCCCTCCATGGCCTTGCTCCCCCCTATCCTCTATGACCCCCTAAGCCCCTACAAACCTGCCCACTCCCTCCACTCAGCAGGCACTGGCCTGCTTCATTTGCTCCACTTCGCCCGCCCCACCATTGGCAGGTGGGCCTTCAGCCACTCTGCCCCCACCCTCTGGAACTCCATCCCGCAGTGCCTCTGCCTTGCCCAGTCGCTTGCCTGCTTCAAGTCCCATCTCAAGACCCTCCTCTTTGACCATGCCTTCGATCACCTTCCTACCCCCACTGCCCTCCCCAATCCTAACCTCCAGCTCGGGTCCGAAACACTGACTGTCCAGCGCTTAGGACGTCTTTCCCATGTGAAAGGCGCTATACAAATGTAATTTTGCTGTTGTAAATTTGGGTTTAGAAAGTGTCGAATTGCACATACATTCAGCTAGATCTCTACAAAATACATGTTAACTAAATTGTAAAGTATAATAATCACCTCACCTTTCCCCAAAAATCAACAAAACATACAAGGCTTAAAACACAAATGTTGCGTTTGCAATGCAAGATCATTTTGAATTCCACAAAGGTTACCATAGTAAACAAAACTATGAATTCCTAAACCCTAATGCAGATTGAATGAACCAGCCCCAGAAAAGCATTTAAAGCCACAATAAATGCGACATAGCCCCATGAAAAGATGCAGTCCTAAATGACCCTAAAGATACCACAACCCATTGAAAGCCATTAGAAAATATTTTATTTTAAAATAAAGTTTTGTGCTCCTGAGTTAAAACATGCAATCAGTATTTTTGTCCTTATACCCACAAATTAATGACAAGCTGTTTATTGGATTTTGAATACAATGAACATCAATTCATTTACAACAGTCGCATGTTGCAGCCCATATTTACTCTGCAAAGCTACATTGGTGTCCAAAAAGGGCCTGCAGCAAGCTTTTCAGTGGTAAATGAAAAAATGCCACTTTTTAAAAAACAGTATGGGATAAAGTACACTTTGTCATGCTGTAACCTCATTCTTACCACTGCCTTTCTTCTCTTCCACTCGTTTTAACGATTTTTCTATTAGAGGAGAAAAAAAATAACTTTGGGAAAAAGCCGAATTTTGGTTACCAGATTTAAGCAAAGACAGCAGATAAGGCACTACAAGTCTTCATCCATAATTTTAAGGGGGAGGATGGGGACCCCAAAGTCATAGATCTGCTTTTGTTTAAGTGACATCTAGCAGACCTCTGCCATACATTTATATGGCGCCTTTCGCGTCACGAGGATATCCCAAAACATTTAAGAGTATTGGCTGGGCTCCCACGCTGGGGGTGGGAGCAGCCGAGATGGGAGGAAAAGATGACTGAAAGCACAGTCAAAGAAGTAGATTGCGCGGTGGACCTTGAACAAAATGAGGAAGTGAGCGATTAAGTTGGAGGGACTCCGGATGGAATTCCAGAGATTGGGGTAAACTGAAAGTTCGCCCACCAATGATGGGATAGATGGGGTGGGGGATATAAAGCAAGCTGAGCAAAGGGATCAGCCAGGAAAGAAGGGTTTGAGGTCAGAGGTAGTGTGGAGCAAGACTATTGAGGGATTTAAACGTGAGAATAAGGATCTTTATCCGCTGTGGAATGGGGAGCCATGATGGGGTGGTATGTTCCTGAAGCCTGGTGTGGGAAAGGACTGGAGAGTCCACAGCTTGTGTAGAGATCAGCCAGGGAGACCAGAAAGTGGAACACTGGCGTAGTCAATGCCTGGATGCGATAAATACATGGATGAAGCTCTCTGTGGTTCAAGATAATAATAATCCTTGCATTTGGTATAGCGCTTTTCACGTCAGGAGGACGTCCCAAAGCGCTTCACAGAACACACTGTAAAGTGAATTGACTGTATATTTGTGGGCGAACGCGGCAGCCAATTGCGCACAGCAATGTCCCACAAACAGTCATAGATTGAAAATGACCAATTTTTATTATTGTTTTTGGTTTTGGAGGGATTATTATTAGACGTATGGATTAAGGAAACATGCCCAAGGTTTTGCCCTGCCTGGAATTGAACTCAGGTCTCTCACTTGCAAAGCGAGTGCTCTAACCACTGAGCTACAGGACTCCACAAATGACAGATAGTGGTGGAGGCAGGGAATGCTTTGGAGGTGGGGGAAAGCGGAATGGGTCACAGCACAAACGTGGGGATTAAAGGACAGTTAGGAGTTCCGCACTGGCTCCACGCAGTGGACTGTGCATCCATTCAGTTTGATGGCTGTGAGGGCCTGAGGGAAGAAGGCAATGATGGGAGTCAAGTCGCTGTCTTGTCAATGTTCAACTGAAGAAGAATCCATTAGAAGAGACAAAGTGGAAGATGTGCACGTATGCTCACCTTAGCTGAGGGCAAGCTCGTACAGTTTTGTTTAGTCCAGTAATACTGCCAATGAAGGACACTAATTGCACTTAAAGGAGGAAAACATTATTGGGATGGTGGTAGTATTTTCATGCTATATAATTTCCCCTTGTCACTCACATAAGGGCATAAAATATCTGAAATCTGGCATATAAATAGTTTAAAATATCCAATCCTGAATCCCTGCAGACAATAATCCAGATGTAGGGCCCCCATGTCAATCCTGGGCCAGCATGAAATTATAAAATAAAATTAACAGCTCTTGATCAATGTTTACAGGATAAAAAGAAAGCAGATTTTTCTCGGATTAATTAAGGGCACTCAGAAATAAGGTCAGTGAGCATGCGTCATCTTGATATGTAAGATATTCATGCTGATCCTGGCTATGGATTTAAACAATGACTTCAACTCAGTAGGAGACATTTTAAAAACATTATCAAAGCAAGATGGGAGGAGAATGAATACTTTCCACTGAAAATAATCCAAGAGCTGTTTCCATTTAATGAGTTACCTCATTACCAATGTCTCTTAGTTATTAATATCAGAAAAACTTGACAAAGGAAGATTCTTAAAATCCAAATAAGGCAAAAAAAAACAAAAAAGTGACTTACTCGCTGCAGCTTGCTGCTGAATACGGGGTATTCCCCCATTTGGCACTTGTAAATTCGAGTCACAACTTCTGCTATTTTTGACAGATTCTGCTGAATGGATACTAGATCTGGATAGGTTTGGAAGACTACGTCTTAATTTCTCTAAGGCAGAAACAAAATGGAAAATAGATTACTCTCAATCATTNAAAAAAATCAGGCATTAAAAAGCTTCCACGATGATTTAGTGAGTTTATTCAGTGAAGCAAAAAGCCAAACAGAATGGGAAACTTCCACACTCACCTACCAAATACAGTTGCTGCACATTACAGTAAATTCTGCAATTTGCAAATCAATTTTCTAAGGCAAAAACACAAAGTAAAGGCTCTTGCTTCAACTGCTCAGTTAGTAAGAATAAGTCTGGTTCACAAGATGCACATATGACTCTGGGGTACATTAATTCTAAAATCAGTCATGGAAAGTAAAAGACTTTCCAAATCGCAGGGAAGAGCTAGAATGTTTTGTCTGACAACAGAAAACGTTTAAAGTTCCAGAATTAAAGAAAGGTCTAGATCATTTACTAGATTTTTTGAATTATGCTGCTTAAACACAGCAACATGAATGCCATTGGAGGGTCCATTAATCAATTATGCATGCAAATAATGGTGGCTGAAAATCTGTGAGAATCCTTCAGAAAAAATGTGTTTAATAGAGTTGGGTGTCACCAGAATATAAGTGGAAGTTAACCTCGTGCCCATGGATGACACTGTCAAGCAGGGGTATATATATATATATTAAAGAGGACCGAGCCCTGAGGAATGCCACACAAGCACGAAGTCCTGAGATACGGCTTGGACCCACAAAATTCTGACTTGGAGGCAAGAGTGCTACCAAATGAGTCAGGAGAACATTTAGATCGGTCATAAATATTGCACTCACAACCAATTTTTATTCTATGTTAACAAGGTGATTTTAGTCCACAATTACACTGCTTGTCGCTTACCTTCATTTTTTACATTAGACTGGAGATCAGCAGCAGGGCCTTGCAAAGAGTGGCGCGGCTGTTGTAGACGACTAATCATGGGCTGTGGAGAGCCAGATACTCGACTATAATCCAGTCCCCGGGCAGGAGAGCGCGAGCGTGGAGAATTCCTAGGTGAATGCCTTGGTGAAGGTCGAGGGGAGTGTCTTGGAGATGGAGTGAATCGATTCATGGGAGGGTGCAAGGTATGAGGAACACATTCTTCTTCATCTTCCAAACTCTGAACATCAAACTCCTGGTCACTGAATGTACCCCGCCTCAGTGAATGACAAGATGAACCTGAACTACGCCTTGAGGCATTGGCTGCATATTCTTGTCTGAGACCTAGAGAAAATAAAAGCATGGAGTGAAACTAGCTAATACACCAATCTTCAAAACTAAGCAGATTTAATTAACTATTGTAATAATAATATTTCCATTTTATATAACGCCTTATCAAATCATTGAGACGTCTGAAAGCGCTTCACAGAATATACTGCAAAATTGACTGTATTTTGCGGGCAAAACGCAGCAGCTAATTGCACACAACAGTGTCCCACAAACAGTCATGGATTGAGTGACTTTTTTTAATATTGTTTTGAAGGGATTATTACCCTCCGAAGAGCGATCGGCCAATTGACTAACAACCGGTTCCTACTTACTGCTAGGTAAACAAGTGTTGGAGCAAGGAAATTTGCCCAACGTTTCACCCTGTCCGAGAATCAAACTAAAGTACTCTCGCTTGTGAGGCGAGTGCTCTAACCACTTAGCTACTATTGCCACAATTGACAAACACCAAGTCAATAGTTTCTACCAAAGTACACAATTGGTGCTTAAACTTTTTAGGAAAGAATGATTTTAAATTATATTTATTCAATTTACTATCACTTGCTATTAGTTCAATTTGACATTCAGATTTGTCACTCCAAGGGAAAGGGGCTCATTGACGAGTAGCTAGTTTGGCATAGGTCCTCCCTCCCGGGCATCGTGGAAGCCTCTGGAATATTGGATGGCTCTGACTTGGCCTTCCACCTTATCCTGTCATTGGCCAAGGTATGGCCCTCCAATAGACCAGAGGCTGCTGTGACGCATCTGAGCATGTGTACCCAACCTCCACCGAGCACCCGCACCAGTCACAGGATACTACAGAAGGCCTGCAATGCAAGGCACCATTTTATACGACAAATTTTCTGATGAATTTGACATTATAACCACTTACAAGAATTTCTGGAATGCAACTAGTCATGTGTTAAGATGAGTGATAAGTAAAGCTGAGATCATTTTACATGGGAAGCAGCCAGGATTTTGATTGTATGGCCACTTAAGTGGTAATTGACAAGTTAAGCCAGGAGTTGTGATGTGTAAAGAAACAAAAAGGCTCTAAAAGTACTGGCCAACAGAAGAAATTCAACAATTTTAGAAAGACAATTTAGCACAATAGAAACAATGCACTTACCATTCTTCTTATGCACTTGACAATGTTTTCTCTTGTAAAAAGCTTATACAAGATGCTTCCTCCAAATGGGAGCATAGTTGTCAGCCAGCATGTGCTGGAATAAGAGTGTAATATTGCCAATATCCTGGCCTATTGTTAACATGTAGCCCTACTCTACCGAACCATTCAACTGTGAACCCCGTTTCAGATGTTACTCAAGCCATCAGCAGGTCCATACTTACTGTCTTCCTGCATGCGAGCTAGGATCTGTACATCTGTGACATCAGTAAGCTTGTACCCAGACCCTAGTGAATCTTCATCGATTTCAGAATTACTTAGCTCACTATCCACAGAGGACTGGGGGCTGATGGGGAGATTTCTGTCCATGGAGCCTTTGAAATGACCTAAGATGGAATACATTTTAAAAAGTTAGGACAGTTCTTATCCTTTGCATTTACACTGGTTACAAAACATTTCTAATGCTTCCATCATAACAGTAATATTTATTTTAGTCAATTATGAGCTGCATTTGAAAACAATGTCAGAAGAACCCAGCACAGATTGCCTTTATCCACCCATTAAATAAATTCAGAAATAATAAGTTACACTTGCAGTACATGTTTCTAAATATCATTGTACCCAGTGGGAGAAACATTAAAATTTCCCTCAAACCATAAAATCACAACATTCCTCATTATTAAACTCCAAAGTCGTTACCCAGGAGCAAATTTGTTATTAAAAATAGTGGTGAACAATCAGAAATCAAAACGGTCTCCGCACCTGGACTACCTGGCATTATCAACTGCTTTACAAGTGGAGCGGATCTAACTGGTGTTGAGGTCGGGGAGCTGAAGTTGCTTCCATAAGCACTACTGCCTCCACTTGCATAACCACCAGTACTATAGGGGCTGTTGAATAAACTCCGTCTTTTACTCTCTGCAAGGTAAAACAAAAGGAACAATTTACAGCAAAAATTTGAACATTATTCTAATTTGATAAGATAGTAAGGCTGTAATAAAATGTTAATTTTAGGTAGATAATCATTATTATTATTAAATGTTTTCACAGTTGTATGAACTACCTGAGATAATAGTGCCTTCATTGTGTCATTTGATTGCATTTTATTCACTTAAACATAAAATATGCTTATAAAATGTTCAGTGTAGTTGCTGAGAAGCTGGAAATTTGCATACATGTACTGACAGATTTTACTTTCCATAAATTGTGGGTCGTTAAAGATCCCATGGCACTATTTGAAAAAAGGAGTTTCTCTTAGTGTCCTAACCAACAATCAACCACATGAAATTGATTGTTCACTTCATGGCAAATTGTGGGACATTGTTGTGTGCAAATCGTTTGTCATATTCGCCTGCAAATATAGTCACTATACATCAAAGGAAATCCTGCGAAGAGCTTCAACAATTTGATTTTCAACAATTTGATAAGGTGCTATATCAAATGCAAGCATTATTATATCTTGAGCCAGTTCCACAGTCTCCAAATCCCATTTGATGATTGACCCAAGTGTCCATTCTTCACATGCAAGCTTAGAAGGGTGAACGCTGGCAGATTAATTCAATTTTTTTTGTTGTGGGGGTGGGGGGAGGAAGAAAAAGAGAGAAATCACATGAAACCATAAAAGTAAACAGACAAAAGGAACAACCTGCATTTATATAAACACCCTTCAAATAGAGTAACTTTATGGAGCGCTTTACAAAATGTGCTGGAGTTGTGCGTGCGTGTGCCTATGGGGGGGGAGGGGGCGGTGTCCTGTCATAGGTACTGCCAAAGATCAAGAGTTTCACATGATTTTGAAAGAGACGGATTGAGAAGGGAGTTCCGGAGGGTTGGGTCATGATGACTAAAGGCTTGGCTGCCGAGATGCTATCCCGCATGAAGGGCACTATATAAATGCAAGTTGTTGTTGAAAAAGCAGAGACTTCAAAATAGTAAGAGCTGAAATGCAGCTTCAGGACACCAGACAATGAGGAGGAATGACATACGTTTCCGGAATCACAGGAACTTATTTAAAGTTGCTGTTTCTTATACAGCTGTTTTGCGATTCGTGGGCATTTCTGAGTCATTGATATTGATGGATCAAAGTGAGACAAAGAGAGCCCCAACTCAAGAGTCTCCATAAGAACTGACAATTTTACTGAAAGCTAAAAAAAATTTGCTCAGACAAACCAGTATTTTCTGCTAATATTTAAACAACAGTAAGCACTTAAATCAGATGGGCCTGCTCTTTTCAAATTGAAATTTAAAGGCCCTGTAATCATAGATAATTGGTAATCCAGTGGATATAAAGGATGCTCGATGTTGCTGAGATTGTGAAATAAGAAGGCCTGAACCTGATTAAACTCAACTGCTCAGTGAACATCAGTCTGATTTTGTAGTTAATTATTTCTATTTTCAAAACAAAGCTTGTAAACTTCCTTTAAGTGATTTACTTAAACCTTTTGAAATGCACAGCACAAATTTTGAATATTAAACATTTAGCCAGCTGAACAATCTCACACGTGGATCTGATTAGATATTGGAACAAAATACAACAACAAGATTCGATTTATAGAGCGCCTTTCACGTCGGGAGGACGTCCCAAGGCGCTGTACAGTTGGGTCAGGACCCGAGCAGGGGGAAATGGTCAGGGTGAGGGGAGGGAAGGGAGGGAGCGAGGAGGGGGGAAATGGTGAGGGGAGGGAAGGGAGGGAGCGAGGAGGGGGTAGAGAGTCGAGAGGGGAGCTGAAGGCTCGGTCAAAGAGAAAGGTCTTGAGACCAGCCTTGAAGGAGGAAAGGGAGGAGGCGGCGAAGGCACTGGGGGATGGAGTTCCAGAGCCTCGGTGCTGAGAGGCTGAAGGCCCGGCCACCGATGGTAGGGCGGTTGGGGCGGGGGATGTGGAGCAGACCGGAGCCAGAGGAAAGGAGGGTACGGGAGGTAGGTAGGGGGATAAATACAGAATTAACACGATGATCTTTTGGTTATATCCCACCAATAGCCACAAAATGAATGACTATTTTTATCTGGAGGATTGTTCTTCTCTTTTTGAATAATGCCATAGGATATTTGTCATCTGCCTGAACAGGGAGATGTCTTTATTCAATGTCTTATCCAAAGGATGGGATCTTTGACATTTGCTCCCCTACCACTGCACTGGAGGGTCATCTTAGACTATGACTACGATCCTTAAAGTCCTCAACATAAAGTTTTAACAAACAGACTCCTGAATCAGAAACAAGAATGTTACCAACTGAGCCATTCTGCCACCTGACATTTTAGGCTACATTTTCAAGAGCACGATTTGAATACACTGACCAAAATAAATGATGGCACTAAAACAAAATGAACGTTATGAAGCCCGTCAATTGGAATTACATAACTATGAGACCTTATGATCTAGGACAAAAATAATAAAGCATCAGTCATGTGAACAGATATTGGACCCATGCTTAATCCAAGGTTGAAGCGTCATAAACCAGGCTATTTGACACTGACACATCACGGGTATTAATCTTGTGACATACTTGGATCATATCCCAGAGTATGATATAAATATTTTGTTACTCCCTTAGTTTATGAACTTCAAAGTTGTTTTCTTAACTAGTCGCAGTAAACTATAATTATGTTCCATTGCATCAAGATTATAAACCAAACTCATGTATTCACTTTAAAATCTTCATTTAATCAAATATCCCAAATTTGGATTCAGTCATCAGATCAACTATGCACTCAATCAAGCACTCCCCAAAATAATATTTGACAGAAATAGCAGAGAAAGCTATTGTTCAACAACTGCACCTGAAATAGATTTGCTTAAATTATGTATTGTGTAAAAGACACACAAAACATTCCCGATAAAGACCTGCTGTATTAGATCAATGTTTCAAGGGGACTAATAACTTCACCAGATGTCTCAGTTGCAACCAACAGCAGGATTCAATGAGTATTCCAAAAGGAAATTATGGCAACACCCTCTTTACTTACATTCTGATGTCATGCAGCTCCACATACTAAAATCATTTGTAACACAACAGTCAAATTGTGTACTTTTCAAATGGTAAAAAGGTTACCTGACATTGTTTGATCAAGTCTCTGTATCAATAACCTTTTTGCAGTTTCCATATCTGGGCTTGGGTGATCCAGCACCTGTCTGCACCATCGAATTGGGCTAAAAGCTCTCTGAACAGGAGTAGGCATCTTCTTTGGTGACATGTATAACCTATGATTTTAGATGAAAAAAATGTATGCAATTAGTTGCAGTTAATTATAGATTGGAAATATTAATTTTATTTCAAAACAATTCATTCCAACAAATGTTCTTTCTAAATCCAGTATTTTACTCCTTCCCATTCAAACGTTTATTGGATACTACTAAAATGGTACATTTTTATCAATTAAATACACTATATTGAGTGCAAATACATTGATTGCAAATAAGTTTTATTTCTTCTTTGAATTCACCATCTCCTCCCAATCAAAATTCTTCAGATGCTACCCATGGTCATAATTGTTTGAAAAAATAAAGCAAACTGTACAACATTGATGATTCGATTTTTCCAACACCCTTCTGGTTGGCAGCCACAGCTCCACCCTCTACTACTTCAGGGCATCCATAACTTCACAGAACACATCTTCTCCCACACCAGGCGAGGCCAGAATTTTTCAAATGCTTGTCCTTACCTTTAAATACCTACTTGGACCACCATACCTCAGTAATCTGCTACAACCCTAATCCTCCAGCCACCTTCTCTGATCCACCCATCCTGACCTATTTCATGCCCTCTACCTGCTCTGCCAATGGCAGGTAAACTTTAAACCACTTTCCTTCTAGCCTCTGCAACTCTAGTCTTAAATTTCTTCACCTCACCCCTTTCATCTTAGCTTTCAAACCCTTCAAAAAACATCTCTGACTGCAATTTCAGCCACCTCCCTCACTTGCCCGTCTCAACCAACTCAGGCTCCTGTTTAGTTTTTATAAAGAGCTTTCAGATGTTCTCTCTAATCGAGTACAAATTGTAGTTGTTTTGGTAACTGGAAGTACATCACCCCATGGGAACTCCTCTTCGACAAAATCAACTTTAGTGGCGTTTCCACTGGTCAATGGAAATTTATTAAGGAATCCCGTTAAGAAACGACACAAATCAGACCCCAATATGGCTAATACGCCAACTGCATTCCTTTCACCCGCCAAATGAAAAATGATAATCCTCTGTTCTCTCAAGTCACAAAGATGTGGTTCTTTACAGAAATTTAAAATTTGCAGAAATCTGAAAATATTTAACCACAACCAATGAGCTGTGAACTGCAGAGGAAAGCTGACGTTATTTATCTGCAGATATGCACTGCAATTTTTAAAGGCTCAAATCATCAATATGGAGTAGAGCCAACTTGAAAAGAAGGGAGTGCTTTGGTTGGGAAAGAAGCTTTATACAGCTGGTAGACAAAACATTATAATTTTCCAAGTCATATTTCGAATTAATTTTCTCAGATGAGCAATTTGAAAACCTGGGCAAAAAGCCCTGTAAAAATACGTTTCTGGGACACTTCTGTGCACAATTGGTTGCCATGTTTCGCCCACAAAATACAGTCAATCCAATTTACAGTATATCATGTGAAGTGCTTTGAGACATCCTAACGACATGACAAGGCGCTATATCAAATGCAAGAACTATTATCATTAATAAGTAAACCGATGGTTCAAAGAGAGTTGACAAAAGATTTGTGGACTGAGGTTAAGTCACGATAATATTTTGAAGCAGATAAGCTGGGATAATTTCAAAATAATGGTTGTTATATTTAGGTGAGGGTTATTTTTGAATGATTAGAAGCAGCAAGATGGTCTTCACTTTCCATGTTGCAGTATTAGGTTACAGTGGTAAGCAGCTATATTCTGGTGAAAATTAAGGAATGTTGGCAATGTTAAAGTTATGCTAAAGATTTAGTTTAATCGAATGACATAAGTTTGTATAGATTTGAGTTACAGGAGTAAAAGTGATATCAGTCATGACAGGGCAATTTGGATAATAAGTGATCAGCAATTCTTGACTATTCATTACAATACAAGCGAACCAGCTTCATTTTAAGACAATGCAACACTTAACGCTTGTATTGTAATGAATAGTCAAGAATTGCTGATTCAACTGAAGGAATTGACCTCACAGCCTTATACTGCAAATATAGCTAGTCCTTTGCTGCAGTATTAGGTTATCAAGATCTTCCAAGATCAGGCAAACAATTTTACTTGTAAGATGTTAAAGAAAGTTATTTAGATAAATATTTGGGGAGGACAAGTTTGCAGGGCTATGGGGATAGAGCGGGGGAGTGGGATTGATTTGAACAGCTCTTTTTAAAGAGCTGGCACAGACACGAATGGCCTCCTTCTGTGCTGTATATAATTCGATGATTCTACGAAAGTTGAAAACAAACCGTTGGAAGTAATTAGTTAGTTGAAAGATTATTTGGATTTTTTGGTCAGTCGGGTGTCTGACACATGCAGAAACCCATCGCCGTGCTTAACGTATCCAAACCAAAACGGGGTTCCATGCATCCCACCCCGACATGGAAATTGCAGAGATATTTATTGGAATCGAATGCGCACTTTCTCCCTTGAGAGACGCATCCTCTTATCTAATTTACGCGCAGGTTGGCAAGAACTTAAGAGTGTGCGCTGGGATACTGCTGGAATCGAACCAGCTAAAACTGCATAGCTTGCCATTGAAAGTGCTGCCTGGTAAGGTTTCTCACTTCTTGTTCAGCTAGGAACCCCCTACCCATTAAGGACTTTTCCTGCAGGGTAGGCAACAGAATATTGTTTCTGACAGAAGATGTATTCAGCGCCATGTTGGGATTTTCAGTCTAGTCGACATCCCTTCGTAGTGTTGAGACGAATGCTGCATAGTCGGACACAGCATCGTCATGACTTCGGATAAGGTAAACCGAGATCCCGAGAGGTGGGCTACCATCACGTCCTCGTATTAGGTATGGGTCACAAAATTCCAGTTTACAATTTCAAAAGGCACATCAAACTGGCAGAAACTGCAGTATAATTGCCCCGTATAATTCCCCAATTAGGAACACTATCCTGACAGGATGACACGGATATGCCAAGTATTCTTCATTACATGTTTTTGCAAAACTTGACCAAGTGCTGTCTGTTTTCCCTGGTCTTTAGATTTAATGATAACAAAGTAGAATAATTATATATATATAAGAACATTACAATTTCAGAGTCAGAGGCACATAATTTTATGGGACAGGTTCTTAAAACACTCACTACTACTTTTATTTGATTATATATTGCATTTCAGTTTACTTACTATTTGTTCTGTAACCTTCAAACATTAGGTTTGAAGGTTACAGAACAAATTTATTGGACAATTTTTATATATGCACAAATACAGCTCACATTAGCAGAGTGTAAGAATAGCACAGCAATGTTATGAATCATGTTGCATATGGAGGATGGGGAATTACAATAAATAACCTGGCAGCTTGCAACAACAAGCTTCATTAAATGTGGTTGTAGAGGTCCTGGGGGCGGAGAGAAGTAAAATGAGGGAACCTATAAAATTAAACCTATCAAGAGACGGGAACCCATACCAGCAATGGATCCTGTTAATGTTGCTCCAAGCAAGATTCCACATGTGCTCAAGAGCCTCACCATCAACGCCTGATGGAGGTCTGATGTTGCATCCCATTGTCCTGCCAAATACTGACTTATTTGTTTCACCAAATAACTTAAAATAAGGTATTATACAAAGTTTCATTCAACCTTTCTGATACAAGGTAACACAAGTTGGTGAATACCCTTTAAAGTATGCCTTAACTAATAAATAAATAATAATCCTTGCCTGATCAAGTCGCTGAAAAGTCTCAAAGCACTTCACAGGATATACTGTAAAGCAGATTGACTTTGCTTTGTGATTTTGTGAGAGAAACCTTGCATTTGATTAGTGCAATATCACATTGGCATCCCATCTCAAAGCACTTCATAGTATTTTACTGTGGAGTGGAGTGACTGAATAGGCAATAGGCAACTGCAGCAATGTCCCACCATCAGCAGAAACTTTTATTTGGTGGATTGTTGGCCAGAACACCGGGAGGAAATCTTTTCTGTTCTCGAATACACCTAAACAGGCAGATCTCGGTTTAACATCTCATCTGAAGGACAGCACCTCCAAAACTGCAGCATACCCCCAAGAATACATTGGAGTGACAGCCTAGACTGTGAGGTCCAAGTGGTCATGGGCAGGGAAGGATCTTTAAACCCATAACCTTTTGATTCAAAACGCCAACTGAGTTTTGCCAACTGAGCGAGGTTAGGGCAGGTTGATCTTACATGCCACAACAAACAACAACAACAACAAGATTTCATTTATAGAGCGCCTTTTCACGTCGGGAGGACGTCCCAGGGCGCGGGACAGTTGACCCTTCAATAAACGTCATGACATGTTTTAGATGAGAAACAGCAAGTGAAGTGAGCTCCGAGGGGAACGTGTGCATCCAAGTAAACATCTCTGGTATTTATTTCCACGTACTGTTTCCAGGGGTACCTGAGGCTTTCAGTTAGGTTTGGACACTCTCAATGATGGGTTTCCCGCCTCTGACCCCCCCCAAAAAAACTGAGTGAATCAGGTTAAAAGCAGGTTAGCTGCCGTTCTACCCAATTATTTTTTCAGATGCTGCCCCCCCCACCCCTCCCGGGTCAGACACAGTCCGGTGTTGGTCTCCGGTGAACCCCAGCCCGGACCCCTCACTCACCAGCTGTCGTCCTCTTCATCACCCGTCGACACCAGCGACTCCACGTCCAGCGTCTCCACCTCATCCAGCGTCGTCAGCTCGGCCGGTGCCTCCGCGCCCTCGGGGTCCGAGAGGAAGCCCAGGCCGGCGACACCCCCGGCCCCCAGCGCCTCGGGGGCCTGGGCCCCTCCTGCTCCTGGGCGGGGCGTCGAGTGACAGTCCGACTGGGTCAGGCCGTCCAGGGAGAGGCCGGCCGAGGGCCCGGGGGGAGCGGGCCCAGCCCGGGGGCTCAGGAGGGTGGAGCGGGTCCTCAGCTGCTCGTTCTGCTTCTCCAGTTTGCGGACCAACTCCTGCAGCTTCCGCACCTCCAGGTCCGCGTTGATGTTCGAGTTCTCCTCCTCCATCGTCAGCTGCTTCTTCCCCTCCGCCGTCTCCTCGCTCGGCCTCAGGCTCGTCAACTCTCCTCCTTTGCTGTCTGTCTCTCTCTCTCTCTCTCTCTATCTCTTCCTTCCCTCTCTCTCTCTCCCTCTCTACCGGTACATGGCTGGGGCGGGGAGGAGGACAGACGGACACGGGCCACGCTCGCTCACACCCGCAGGCGTCCCCCGCCCAACTCGAACCACGGCTCCACCATCATTCTCGCCGCCGCCATCTTTCTCCTCCTCCGTTCGTCCGTCCGTCCCTCCCTGCCCCGCCCCGCCCTGTGTGCGTGCGCGCCCGCGCGCGCCTGACGTCAGCGCGCACAACAGCCAGCGACCCGGCGAGTGACGACGTGTGCGCGCGTATGGCGGAACAGCTCGCGACGTGACGGGCCACACCACCCCCTTCCCCCCCGCCTCTCAACAAAAAAAAACCGACGCACGGAGCTCGCGGGCCGGGTACACACGTCAGCACACAGCCCCCGCCCCGCACCTCAGCACCAAGCCCCGCCCCCCACACGCGTCAGTACCAAGCCCCGCCCCAGGTCCGCGCCAAGCCCCGCCCCCCGGCGCTGACGACGCGTGACCCCGCCTCGCCGCCTGGGCTGTGACTGATGATGACGTCACGTTTGCCGAGGGTGACAGGCTGTGTGGCCAGACTTGGGCGGCTTCCCGCCTGGTTGGGCGTGTTTTGGTTTTGTTCTGCGTAAACGCACGGCTTTAGGCGGGCGCCTAATTATTGAACGTTTAATTCAAACCTGCAAAGCTTATCTACCCTCCCCCCACCCCCACCCCACCCACCCCACCCTACAATCTTTTTCTTACACAGTTTCACTAACCCTGAATTGCCCACTTTGCAACCCGTTGTGGGCAACACTTAATGTTGGGCTACTTTTAGGCTAATATTTGGTGGATTTTGGGGCTACAAACGTAGCTCAATTTCTGGCCACACTGGTGATTGAGGGCAGCAGTGAATGAATAATAATGATAATCCTTGCATTTGATATAGCACCTTACGACGTCGCTGGACGCCTCAAAGTGCTTCACAGAATATACTGTATATTTTGTGGGCGAAACACGGCAGCCAATTGCGCACAGCGGTAACCCACAAACTGCCTGCTCCTGCCACAATCTCAGCTCAACGTCTGCAGTGTTCAGTTGGCTGTTAAAGACTGAAAGGCAACTACGGTGTAGTGTTTGGAAAAAAAAGTTTCCTGTTCGTACATTTTCCACTTCGCGGCATGAAGGTTTAAAATAATAATCCTTGCAATTTGATTCAGTGCTTTTCACGTCAAAGGGATGCCTCACATCTCTTCATAGCAGTTACTGTAAAGTGTCGGCACAGCAATTTGCAAGCAAATAATGCAGTTCATTTTGCACTTAGTAATGTTTCACAAACAGTCATGAAATTAATGACTAATTTTATTTGAGAGATTGTTGGAGACCAGGAGACACTCCCTTCTCTTTCATTTCCACCCTGAATAGGCAAGTGGCAACTTGGCTTAATGCCTTATGCAAAGGAAAGCACCTCTGGTAATGCAGCACTTCCCCAGCATTGCATTGGCGTGTAAGCCAACACTATGAACACAAAGTCTTGATGTAAACATAACCTTCTCGCTCAGAGGTGAGAGAGAGCTACAAGCCAAGCCAGGATGAAACCTAAAAATGATAAAATGATGTACAGTTTTCTGCAATCTGGCAAAATGTACCTTGTGCATTTGGGGAGCTTCAGTGCTTTTTTTCCAGTTTCCCACAAAATGAAAACTCTTAAATTTAATGCCCGATTAGTTTTAATAGACTGTTTTCACTCAGTGTTTGCACCTTTGAATATTCCAACTCCATAGTGGATTTTATCTTCCAAGTAAGGATACCAAGGAAATAATCAATAGACTGGGATAATGTGGAGTCCTGTAGTTAGAGCAATCGCTTTGCAAGTGAGAGACCTGAGTTCAATTCCAGGCAGGGCGAAACCTTGGGCAAGTTTCCTTACTCCACACGCCTAATAATAATCCCTCCAAAACCAAAATCAATAATAAAAATTGGTCATTTTCAATCTACATTTGTGGGACATTGCTGTGCGCAATTGGCTGCTGCGTTCACCCACAAATATACAGTCAATTCACTTTACAGTGTGTTCTGTGAAGCGCTTTGGGACGTCCTCCCGACGTGAAAAGCGTTATATCAAATGCAAGGATTATTATTATATTATTATTATAATGGTAATTGCTGGAATTGTCTGGCAAGCTTTCCCACTGCCTGTCCATCTAGCACCACCCTAGCGAGTGGTCTGCCTCTCCATATCCTACCAATGAGCCAGGCTGACTGGACTTTCATCCCTGGAGTACTGTGGAGCTGAATGGCTCAGGAATCGACAACCAAGACCTCCACAGAGAATTGACTCAAGTCTGACATTCCATCGCCAAACAAGTCACCTTGGTACCAATTCATCTCCAAGAAGATCAGCAGCAGCCAATTGCGCACAGCAGTCTCCCATGAACAGTCGTGGATTGAAGTGACCAATTTTTTTTTAAAAAAGGATTTATTACACCCGGAAAAGCGATCTGCCAATTGACTGATAATTGGGTTCCTACTTACTGCTGGGTAAATAAAGGCATATGGAGTAAAGAAACTTGCCCAACATTTCGCCCTGCCGGGAATCGAACCCAGGCGAGTACCCTAACCACTGAGCTACAGGACTCCACAGTTCATAATAGGTAAAAGGAGCCTATTAGAGGAAACAATGAGAACTGTGGAGTTCTGTATGAGATTGACCTTAATGAGGGTGAGCATTGGAGAAACCTAGTCTCAAAGTGATTAAAGCTTGATGTGGCTTTCACTATGTTTGGGGCAATATAGGGATAATACAACGTGCCTAAATTGCCTAAATATCAATAACAACATGCACTTATATAGTGCCCTCCACGCAGGGTAGTGTCTCAGATCGCTTAACAGTGGTGCAGCCTGACTCCGAGCCGGGGGAGTGGGGAGGTGGCCGTAAGCACTGTCGAACAGGAAAGTCTTCAGGCGGGGCTTGAAATAGTGGAGAGAGGAGGCAATTGGGAGAGGGATTGAGGGAGAGTGTTGCAGAATTTGGGGGCGTAATGCAACATCCGATGATGGGATGGAGGTTGCGAGGGACGAGCAGGAGGCCGCTGCCAGTCGAGCTGAGGTGCCGGGTGGTGGATTAGGGAGTGAGGAGGTTGGAGAGGGAGGGAGGTGTCATGAATGGATCTGAACACGAGTGTGAGGATCTTGAAGTCGATCTGTTCGGTGCTGGGGAGCCATTGAAGTCTGGCCAGACTGGTGAGATGTGGGTATGGAGTTTGGTTCGGGTCAGTATGTGGGCAGCAGAGTTTTGAATGAGCTGGATCTTGTGAATGGTGGAGCTGGGGAGTGTGTTGGAGTAATCCAAGCGGGAGGTGACAAATGCATGCACGAGGGTTTCGGCTGCATTTGGGGTAAGGTACTGTTGGAGGTGGGCAATGTGGCGGAGGTGGAAGAAAGTGGTTCTGGACAGGGATTGGATGTGGGGGAGGAAGGACAGTTGGGGGTCGAACCGGATGCCTAGGTTGAGCATCGGTTCGGTGAGTCTGAGGGATAGCCTGGGAAGGTTGAGGAGTTTAGATCCGCAGGAATGAAGACATTGATGAGAGCCAAGGAGTATGGTTTCCATCTTGTCTATATTCAGCTGCAGGAAGTTTACTTAATTCATCCAGGCCCCGATGTCTGCCAGATAAGCTGATAGAACATCGGCGGACCTGGAGTTGGTACTGGAGGAGGCAAAATAGAGTTGTGTGTCATCCTCATACATGTGGAAGTTTTCCCCGTATCTGCAGATGACATCACCCAGAGGGAGCATTTAGATAAGGAAAAGAAGAGGGCCAAGAATGGAGCCCTGGGGTACCCCGCAGGTGACCGGGTGGGGGTGGGAGGAGAAACCATTTGCTGAGATGAAATGGAGGTGGTTGGTTAAGTAGGACTCGAACCATGTGATTGTGGTCCCACTAAGGTAGATGAGGGAGGAGAGGCGGTGGAGGAGGATGGAGTGTTCAACTGTGTCAAACATGACAGAGGTATCCAGGAGGACGAGGAGGCAGAGGGAGCCCTGGTCACAGATAGAGAGAATGTCATTTGTGACTTTGACAAACGCTGTCTCTGTGCTGTGGGCAGGGCGAAAACCAGACTACAGGGGCTCAAGGAGGGAGTGGGGGGAAAGGTGTGACCGAAGTTGACCTGCAACAATGCGTTGCAGGACTTTGGCAAGGACCTAAGGAACAATTACTTAAATAACTGTAGTGGAATCAGAAAAAAAGCCAGGAACAAAGTTGGCTGATATTTTGTTGCACCTCCCAAAACCTGCTCCTGTTATAGAAATGATGTCAAGTGAGGGAAACACTATGCCAAAAATTTGTGTGGAACAAAAACAGCTAAGGTTTTTAAAGTCTGATGGTAAAAGATTCATAACAGATACCGTTTAACCATCTTTTCATTCCTTGTATTCATCATAAAGTTAAACAAACTATACTATTGGGCTCATTCCCTCCTCCATCACATCACACGATACACAATCACTTCTAACCGATTTGCTTTCATTGAAGCATTTCTTGTTAAAACATCAGTCTCTCAACATATCATTGAATGTTGCAAAGCTTAACGGGAGAGCACCAACAAGTCACATATTGAATCAAGCTGTTTTTGTTTTAAGTGTTGTTTACTGCTCTTAAAATGCAAGTGGCAGGTGGCTTTTCAGTACACTAGGCTACAGATACTATCAATTTTGCCCCTTAACCAGAGTTGTGCAAAATCCACAGCAGAAGCAGCAAGTCAGGCAAATAATATAAAAATAATCTCACTCTTCTGGATGAACAGGCCGAGTTCCCAGCGCCCCAGAGCCAAAAACTAATGTGGCGCCCCTTGTTGGAGGAATCATTTACCTTGCTGCCTCTGGAATTGGGAAGAAAGCCAATCTCTCAATTGTAATTCAATTTGTTTGTATTACTGTTAAAGGGAAAGTTACAGTTAACAACACTGAGGCAATGGTGTGACCAAGAATGGAACAGATACCCTGCAGTTTCACTTACAAATAAACAGTTGCTACACTTCACAGATTACATATTGTGAAGTACTTTAAGATTTTGACAATGTAATAAAGCACAATATCAAATTTAAGAATTATTATTAATATTTTGCCCACAAGTGTACAGTCAATTCACTTTACAGTCTATTCTGTGAAGCGCTTTGAGACGTCTAGAAGACATGAAAAGCGCTATATCAAAT